GCCAGGCTATTCCTCCAGGTTCAGATTTCTGAGCGAAGTACTTGATTCTTTGGGCCCACAAATCGGCTTCTGCATTCCTCTTGGCCTGTATTCGTTTGTCTCTCTCTATCCTCAACCTCCAACAAAGAGACGCCTCACGCTTTTTTTTCTTCGGGCATCGTCAACCTTCAACTCGGCCACCGGCTCCCTCCTCCACCCGCCCCCTCCCGACCGAGCCCCACCGAGTCAACAAACACCTTACTTCAGCCGCTAAGACATCACTCCTCTTGCCAATTTGAGGTGTTTATGCAATGTCAGGCAACACGCTGAGAGGCACGCCCAATCGCGGCCAGAGCCGCCCAGGCATTCCCTTTGCCAACAGCCCGGGTCCCGGTTCCTCGTCCAGTATCCCCCGCCCCGTACTGGAAACCCACCCATCTACCACTGCCAGCGACTCTGGTGCTGCCCCTGCTGGTGGTGCCGCCGGTGCCGCCTCTGCTGTCAGCGCGAGTCGACAGAAGCAGATCAAGAGAGATGATGTACGTTTTGGCTTTCCCCCTCTTCTTTACTCCCCTATGTATGTCAAAGCGAACGAGACCAGTTCGAGGTCCAAGTGAAAAAGAAAAAAAAATCACTCTCAAGCCGACTTGACCTGCGATGGGCTTCACTTACCACGAGCTCGAAAGAGCCAGCCGCCTTGACATGATGGATACTGACTTTTACATCAAGGCCATCCGTCGCAAGATGGAGAGCGACCTCTCCAAGAAGAAGCACCTCAGCGGCCGCGCCCGCCATACCCGAAAGGCGCCTCCCGGCACCGTCCTCGCCCTTAAACCGAGTCCCGCCCTGCAGATTAAGCCTGGTACGACCGTCGCCGAGGCAGCCCAGCTCATGGCGGCTAAGCGCGAGGACTGTGTTCTCGTCACCGACGACGACGACAGAATCTCGGGTATCTTCACTGCCAAGGATCTGGCCTTCCGCGTTGTAGGCGCCGGCATGAAGCCAACCCACATCACGATCGCCGATATCATGACCAAGAACCCTCTCTGCGCCCGTACCGACACGAGCGCCACCGATGCTCTCGATCTCATGGTGCGCAAGGGTTTCCGCCATTTGCCCGTCATGGACGAGAACCAGGATATTTCCGGTATCCTCGACATTACAAAGTGCTTCTACGACGCCATGGAGAAGCTCGAGCGCGCCTATTCCTCCTCGAGACGCCTCTACGATGCCCTTGAGGGTGTCCAGTCCGAGCTTGGCTCCAGTCAGCCCCAGCAGATCATTCAGTACGTCGAGGCGCTGCGCTCCAAGATGTCTGGCCCGACCCTCGAGTCCGTCCTCAACGGCACCCCGCCCACGACTGTCAGCGTCAGGACCTCCGTTCGCGAGGCTGCCCAGCTGATGAAGGAGAACCGCACAACCGCTGTCCTGGTGCAGGACCAGGGGGCCATCACCGGCATTTTCACGAGCAAGGATGTCGTGCTGCGTGTCATCGCCGTCGGCCTCGACCCCGCCACCTGCAGCGTCGTTCGCGTCATGACGCCTCACCCCGATTTCGCGTCCATGGACATGAGCATCCAGGCCGCCCTGCGCAAGATGCATGGTATGTGGGATCCACAGTGCATGCTAGCTAGGAACCATGTACTGACAGACACTAGACGGACACTACCTCAACCTCCCCGTCATGAACGACGGCGGCGAGATCGTGGGCATGGTCGACGTGCTCAAGCTCACCTACGCAACACTCGAGCAGATCAACACCATGGCGACCGGAGACAACGAGGGTCCTGCCTGGAACAAGTTCTGGCTGTCGCTTGATAACGAGTCCGAGTCGATGGTCTCGGGCGAGGGCAGCCACCACCACACAAACCTCGGCTCCCGCATCATGTCACCCGATCACACGCGCGAGCGCATCGGCGACAGCGTCGCACCTGGTGACTCGGCCTCGCACGTGGGCGTCGAGTCCCCCCCGCACTCGGAGTTTATTCCCGCCGACATCATCGCGCCGCAGTCGCCCGCCGAGCTGCCCTTCCCCTTCAAGTTCAAGGCGCCCTCGGGCCGTGTTCACAGGCTGCAGGTCATCGCATCGCAGGGCGTGGCCGCCATGGTCGCCAATGTCGTTGCCAAGCTCGGTGCCGAAGCTGAAGCCATCGGTGGCGCCCCGACGACCGACGACGATGGCAAGATCAGCGGCGGTTTCGCGCTCAGCTACCTCGATGACGAAGGTGACTCGGTGTCGATTACTACCGACAATGACCTCCTCGAATCCATCCTCCTGGCACGCCAGGGCCACCGCGAAAAGGTCGACCTCTTTGTTCACGACCCGGAGAAGCCTCCTGTCGCCGTGGCACCGACGCCTGTGGAGCCCGTCATCCCCACGCCCGCCACCTCCACGGCCTCTGGACTTCGCGAGCGAAGGAAAGCCCACGATGACGAGGACGACGAGGATGAGGAGGAGGAAGATGAGTCTCCCAGCCGCCGCTCCCGTCGTTCCCGCCACGCTGCGCCCCAGCAGGAGCAGCTCATCCAGGGTGTGCCCAACGATCTACTGCTTCCTGGTGCTATTGTAACGCTCGCTGTCGTTATTGTTGGTGTCTTCACCATCTCCAGGATCACCAGCAGATAGAGAGTGTATACATGGGAGTGAGAGATCGGGCCCCGTTGCGTCATGATGTGATGAGGCGTACATACTGTATTCAGAAACGCTTGTCTTCGTAGACTGTTGAGTACCCCATATTGTTGTTAATACCACACTGCACCTTTGTCTTTTTGCGTCGATATTGTTAGGGTCGTTCTGGCCTTTTTACATTGGAACCTCTGTGATTCATATGATGTGTCCCAGCTTTTGCGAATGCAAGCCCATGCTTTGCCGAGGCCGAGCCAATTCTTCCGTTCATTGACATTCTGAATACCATCAAAGCCCTTGGAGCTAGGGTATCGAAAGGGACCATCATGAAGGTGTGTTCAGGGGTCTGCGTCGCTGTATTACCTAAGCATGGCCCATGCACCACGACGTGCGGCTTCGGTGGACCTCGACCTCTGCAGCTCCCAAAAAATGTTCCCGCGTATGGCTCTGGCAACGTGAACCACTGGACAATTGTCGATCCACCAGCCCGCCATCATGTTCAGTCGAGCGATAGCCCGTCGGCAAGGTATTCACGGCCTCCTGGTACCTCGAATAATTCTTCCACTGACCCAATGCAGCCCGACAGGCCCTGGCCGCCCCCCTCCTCCTCCGACCATGCACCGCCCGCTTCATCTCCCAAGACACTCCCTCTGGCCTGACAGCCGAAGCCCTCGAGTCCCTGACGACAGCAGCCGCCCTCGACCAGGTTCCCAGAACCGCCGACGCCGCCAACACCCAGAGTCAGCGTCGCGTGCCCTCGGCGACGAGCAGCGCCGTGCCCGAGTGGTGGAAGGAGTACCGCCGCGCCCAGAACCTCACCAAGACGATCGGCTCCGAAGTCAAGTCGGCCTACATCCCGTCCGAGCTGTTGACGAACCCGCCGTACCCGCGCGACATTACGCTCGAGCTCCTCATGGCCTCGCAGACGCACATGGGCCACCACCGCTCGCGCTGGAACCCGGCCAACTCGCGCTACATCTACGGCGTGCGCGACAACGTCCACGTCATCAGCCTCGAGACGACGGCCTCGCACCTGCGCCGCGCCGCCCGCGTCGTCGAGGAGGTCGCCTTCTACGGCGGTCTCGTGCTCTTCGTCGGCACCCGTCCCGGCCAGATGGACATTGTCACCAAGGCGGCCGGCCGCGCCGGCGGCTGCCACCTCTACACCAAGTGGACGCCCGGCGCCATTACGAACCGCGACTTTATCCTGCGCGACCGCGAGGTCGTCTTCCTCGACGAGCACGACAGGCCCGTGCCTGGCTTTGACGGACACGTCATGGATCGGAGGCCCATGGTGCCTGATCTCGTCGTGTGCCTCAACCCAATGGAGAACAAGACGCTGCTCAACGAGTGTGGCCTGGCGACGATCCCGACGATTGGCATCATCGACACGGATGCGGATCCTACGTGGGTCACGTACGCCATCCCGGCCAACGACGACAGGTGCGTTTTCTGCGTCTTCCCGTGCTATATGGCTTTCTCCAAGGGGGACATCATATGCTGACCATCTACATGTAGTCTCCGATCAACCAGCCTCATTGGCGGCATTCTCGGACGCGCCGGCCAAGAGGGCCAGAAGAGGCGCAAGGAGGCCGCGGCCGCGGGTCGTGTGTCGTGGGACAACCCCGTCGAGGTGCATCGGTACATGATCAAGACGCGCAAGGCGTACGAGGCCGCCCAGGAGGTCTGGCAAGAAGACATGAAGGCGATGCAGGAGAGCAAGGATGGAAATGCCGACAGGCTGCTGGCCCTGAAGCGGACACCAACAAGCGAGTCGTCGCGGGCCAGCGTCATGGACCTGTAGATGTGGGCTGCGAGGGGGGAGGACCCCAGGGTTCTGGCGGACGACGTATAGAACATGTACACCTTGTAAGAATAAATGCATACCTTTTTTGAGGCCAACATACTCATGACACAGACCTGTCGAGTATAGATCGTGATTGTGTTTTGGTTCACTTTCCTTGATGGACCGGCAGTTGCATATCTGCGCTAAATGCAGCATCTGATATGCAATGTCGAAATAGTCGCCAATCCACATGAAAGAGCCTCATGTTGAAAAGTGCGCGCCTGCGCATTTCCCCTCACCGACAGGCCGTGCCGAGCATCATCACGAACGAACATTTCAGAACAGCCAGCCCAAGCCCGCCTGCCGACGCGCCAAGCCAGGCCTTCGTGCATAAATCCCAGCTTCTTGCATCATCGACAAGTTTGGGCCTCGGCCGGAAAAAATAGCCTGAGGGTGACCAGGAAGGGGGGCGGGGGCGGGTGTCCTACCAGTGAGAGCAACCCACATTCTTGGTAGGGCTTCCTGAGCCTTTCTTTGTAGACCCCTTTATTTATGGGATCCCTGTTTTCAACCGTCCTTGAGATGCCCCTATTCCCGCCTGTTTGCTAGCAGACGAGATGGGGGCGATCAGACAAGACGGGACAGCAAGCAAGTCTGAGCACGGGTTACATTTTGTCTCATGCTGTGCATGGCCAGTTCATCCGTGAGATATATGCTGACTCTAATATTGGTTGACAGCATAAGTCTTCAGGCGGGGCTACCTCAGAACCCCTATTTCAGCATTCTCATCCTCCCCCTCAGGCCCTGAAAAGGAGCCGCCAACATCGCCAACATGCCGGCCATGTTGGACGATCCGGACAGCCCGACCATTTACAGGGTTTCAGGGGCAACACCTTTTCCGGAACCTGGTTCATCAGATCTCCCCCCCGAGATTGTGCCCCGTCAAGTGACGCTCCGTGACGGTCGCACCGCTGCGACGATGATGCCCTTCGCCTCTCGAGACCAGGTTCCCAAGTCTCTCCTCGGCTACCTCGCAGATCAGCTGAACAAGGAAATTGAGGGCGGCGATACTTATCCCATGACGGAACCCATGACGCACGAAAAGTTTGCGTCCTACTGGTTTCAAAACTTCGGCGCCCTCATGCTCCTCGGAAACATCGAGCAGCCGGCTGACCTGGCCGACCTGCCCGAGGCGGCGACGGGCGACTGGTCCAAGACGTGCCTCGGCAGCTTCTACATCAAGCCCAATTATCCAGGCCGCAGCTCGCACGTGTGCAATGCCGGCTTCCTCGTCACCGACGCGAGTCGTGGCCGTGGCGTAGGCCGACTCATGGGCGAGTGTTACCTCGACTGGGCCCCGAAACTGGGCTACACCTACAGCGTTTTTAATCTGGTCTACGAGACCAACGTTGCTTCGTGCAAGATTTGGGATGCTCTGGGCTTCAAGCGCATCGGCCGCGTCAAGGGTTGCGGCGACCTGCGCTCCTATCCTGGCCAGCTGGTTGACGCCATCATCTACGGCCGGGACCTCGTCCCTGGCGAGTTTCCCGAGGACCTCGCTGGGGTTGAACGGTTCGACAAGATTAAATTCTATCTCAAGTACAACAAGTACCCCGTCGGCGCCGATCGTCACGAGAAGAGCCGCCTCCGCAGCGCTGCGACGCACTATCGCCTTGTCGCCGGCGACAGGCTGATGCTCAAGGACAAAGAGGTCATCCCCGACCCCCGTCGCCAGTACGAGATTGCCCGTGACGTTCACGTTGCGGCGCACGGCGGCATCAACAAGACGACGGCCACCATCGCCGAACGCTACCACTGGTCCCGCATCAAGGAGACCGTCAGCGACGTCATCCGCAACTGCGTCAAGTGCAAGGAGCTCGGCAAGGCGCCCGTCGCAGCCAACGGCGGTGGTAGCAGCAGCAGCACCGCCCGCAACCGAGCCGCGCCCGCTGATGCTGTCTCCCCCGTCTCAACAGCGGCGCCCTCTGCCCCTCCGCCTTCGCTGTCTGCGGCGCCCCCTTCTGCCTCTGATGAGCTCGTCGCAATCGCCGATCCAGCCGTGGCAGCCTATCGGTATCCCTCCCCCGACGGCGGCGTTCACCCCTCCCAAACTCTCCGCGATCCCTCCGTTTCGCCTCTGCCGCCGACTCATGGTCACAACCCGATGCTACAAGATAGCCCACGGCATCATGACGCGCACGTGTACCAGCCTATCGACCCGCGCATCATAGCGTCACCGCACCACCATGGCCATCACCATCATCACCATCACCATGGACACGAACACGACCACGACCACGAGTCGGATCCATACGCGTATCAGACGGAGACCGACTTCCAGGCCCTGCTGAACGCCACGGCTGGGGAGGATGAGAGACACGCCGAAGCAGATGATGCCGCCGCCCGACGAGAGGCTGAGGCCGTCGATCGAGACCTGGATATGTTGATCGAGCAAGGAGACGAGGACGAGACCATGTCCGGGGTGGGTAGGGGCGAGGACGACGACGTCCAGGAGCCGGTGACGCTGGATGTCGCTGCCGAGGAGGCCAAGGTCAAAGCGATCTATGCGTTGAGCTATGCTGATGGTTGATTTAGTGATGGATGTACGGTACCATGGGATTAGCGTTGTGGTCTTTGGTAACTTTTCTCTTCCTCCCCCAAACAGGAGGTTTGGAGATACTCAGGAAGCTACAGTCTGATTGATGAGTGGTTTTCTCCCATTCTACGACACAATATTCTGGGGCCGTTGCCCCACGAGCAGCAGCTGTTACGGGTTATACCCGTGATGTAGCACAGGCCTGTGACCTATGCCTCTATGAAGACAGCCCAGTTGAATTGACGACGTTGATCAACACGTATCCTTTAAGCTCAATTGGACAGCTGCCAGCAAGGCACTTACGACCATGTGAGGGCTGTCACTAAGCCCCTTTGGGGCCGACCGTAACAGCAGCAGTCAGAGCGGAGCTTCGTTCAGGCTTCACACCAAGAGTGAAATAATTCCCTGGTCCCGATGTAACTACCTATGTACCATTCTTATCTAATGCATCGACACTTGAGCCCCTATCAATTAACCACTATGGTGTTTTCTTTCCTTTCCCCCCCTTTCTGCGATCGGGATTAATAAAATCACAGTAGCAGTCAAAGTCCCCATTAGGTGTTGAATGACTAGACAAATATATTAGTTAGCTGCAATCTATCAACCCTTCCCTTCACAGAGAGACAGCTAAGAACTTACTAATAGCATTCGCGAACATTCATCGAACACTATGAAATGTTATCATCATGAAGACGAACTTTCACTCAAGATTGAACAAACATGAACAGAACACTACTTGACTCACAGATGAATGACAACGGTCCACACAGGTGTTCCAATCCTGGCCACCATAGGCACAATTGGGTTTACCAGTCTGATGAACCTGGTTAGCACTCGAGCTACAAGTAGTGATGTTCTCTAGCGCATACCACTTACTGGCAACGTGGCATGGCACATTTCCGTATTCGAGCAGGTGCCTATAGAGGCGAAGGTAGTAATAAGAAATAATAACTTCATAGTCGGGTTTGCTGGAGGTCTTGAATGGAACAGAAGCAGAGCAGGATAGAGAGTGTATTAATACGTACGAGGTTGAGCCGCAGTATGGTGTTCTTCAGAATGAGATGAAAGTACTTGCCGTAATTGCCATAGCAATCTCAACCCTGTAACCCAGTATCACGCACTAATTTCTATTGACAAGGGGATCTTACCCATAGGATAATACCATGTACACTTAGCTATGGAACCATAACGCCCCAACTGGGTCGTTAGCAGATGACTAGGCAGGACCCCTTGCACGCAAACCTTGCATCGTACGTATGCACATCTAGGATCATACACGAAACACAAAATACGAAAACAGGATCACGAACAGAGTTTGACGTATACCCGGCTAAGCCACGAAGCTGAGGCTGTGTCTCAGCGGCTAGTTCGCTAGTGGGCTCGTGCGCGACTCCTTGTTTTCCATTATGAAGGGACACAAAGAGCCATCGTATCATTTCTGTAACTTCTTGTTCTCTATCTAGTATTTATTTATTCAAGGCCCCGTTCCGTTGCGACCCTCGACGAGCAGCCCCTTACACATGGCCTCATGAATTAACTGATAGGGATATCATGAAATAGTTTTCAAGGGATGAACTGATAGGATATCATGAAATAGGTTTTAAGGGATGTACATTCTTATACACAGACAGTCTTTCTCACGAAAGCGGTTAATCTAAGCCTTTCCTCATATGCATTATGCCGAGTATAAAATGCTTTGTGTTGAGAGGGCTTCACTGCTTATGTGAACCCGAATCCAGTAGTTCCGCTGTGCTTGCGAGCTCTGAATAGGTAGGGTATCTGATATAAGGCTTGTGATGGTTGGTTCTTGATTGTCTGCTTCTATCTCTGAATTACCACTACCCACGTGGGTCAGATATACCCGTCTGCTTCACCGATCACGTAAGCCGTAGCTCACGTGCTCCTGAGAGCAGTGGATCCCAGATATCCCAGATATCCTAGATATTACCATCCTAACCACAGGGTTCCCTAATATTGGTTCAACACTTTGCGATATACTTCGCTAGCTTCTGCCAAATGCATGTACGAGGGCCTCGGAGGGTTTCGAGAATCGGAAAGCTTCGATAATAGGAGGGTTTGGGAAATTATGAATCAGCCGCAGTGCCGTATCTTGGGCACCCTAGCATCGCCGATCAACTCCAAGGCCTTAACAAGGCGGAGATCCAGATAGCAGATAGCCTTCACCGTGCTGCGGAAGGGCTAAAACAGCAGCAGCGAAGAACTAGCGCTTGGGGCCGCCCATCGTTTCTCTTTCGACATTTGTTTGTGCCAGCACTGCTAGCGGGAAGTGTCCGTTCTTGCCGGGTCTTGCCGGCTGACAAATTCCTGCGACGAGGCTGATTCCCTGGGGGTCTCCTGGTTCGTCTGTCAGTTGAATTTGAAACGACCGTACCATGGCACAATAAAACGTGCTCTGCAGGTGGCTTCCATTCATACCATACACCGGGAAAAGACCGACGTAGATTTAGTCTCAGAACTTCTACGTGCCGAGGTGACTATTGAAGGATGGTTGAAGTGCTTAGTAAAAGTCGTGGACGGGGTGCTAGTATTCGAGGTCTTCCCGCCAACTCAGGTTTCGCCTCGGGGCTATGATACTCCAGCCTCGGCGACGGCGTCTCAACTTACTCTTCGCCAAGTCGATACCTTGCCTCGTGAGCTCGGTACTACGGAGCCTTCGGATGTCCTAGACAAAAGGGCAGACCGTTTTGTTTGGAGAAAAATTCAAAGTCCACGTCGTTACCGCCACCGCCAGAGTCATCAGTATCATCGTTATTGACTACGTTATCAACACACCTGACGCGGATGGAAGTATAAATGCCAACTTCGACAAGCTGACCAACGTCATGGTGTCAGGCGACCCTGTAGAGCCACCATGCAGGGGGTCGACCAGGGGCTAGGGGCTACGAGAAACGTATATATATATATATAGGCTGCGGAGGGCCATAATTCAGATGTGTTCCAACCTCCTACCTATGTTCTATCACCTGCGTACTACGTGCGGAAGACCTTTTCACCCTGTTCTAAACAACGCTCTAACACATGGTCAATCGCCCCGTCGTTTCTACGCACTTCAATAATTCTCCCAAACTCTTGGGCCACCCTCAGCAAGCAGTCTTTGACTTCAGTACTGCTGTAGTGTCTAGTGTCTTTGATCTCGGCCTTGACGCTGCTGGAGTGGCTCAATATGTTGTGAGTTCGACTGCTGTTCATCTCGGTACGAATATCGTTGCGAAAACTCTTTACTTTGTCAACGAGAACAACGTTAGGGTTGGCACCGTTTACCTTTGAGAGTATGGGTGTCTCAATTCTACGCTATGGGATAGGTTTTCGCCATTTTGGGTTTTCCTAGCTTCGTAAGGCAAATGCAGGGACATGTCTGTCATGAACCATTCCTTCCCCATCTTAAGACTTCAAAATTTATATGCTGTTCAGGTATAAAATAGCACCGTCAACTACACACTACCTTGCCGTGGATATACATGTTTGATAATGAGATCAGTCTTCGTTTCTTGATAAATTATTCCACCTCAGCGTAGACATATGCAAGCCGAATATTCCGACATATGTACGCCAATATCTAGAATCACATACCGTTTCTTCCATTCAAAGTCATTGAGTTTCCTTCTCGAGAAATACTGTTACGGTCGGCCCCAAAGGGGCTTAGTGGCAGCCCTCACACGATCGTAAGTGCCTTATTGGCAGGTATCCAATCGAGCTAAAAGGATACATGTTGAATCAACGTCGATGATCTAAGTAGGCTGCGTTCATAGAGGCATAGGCCGAAACCTATACAACGCCAATGGGTATAACCCGTAACAAATACAATCCGTCCTTGTCGTTTAGGCCATTCAAAAGACTCTCGTCTAATTATATGGAGGGCAGCTTTACTATTGAGCACCCCTCAATCCAGATACGTACTGCGCTGGAAAGTGATTTCCACTTGACTCGATACTAGACACTTGATCAGTCGATGTGTAGTCGCAGAAAACGCATCCGTATCTACAGTTGCGCAAGCTGGACATTGAACGACTTGTTTTGCTATGCGAAGCCGCAGTTCTAGGCATTCAAGATTCCACGGCAAGCTGTATTAAGCATGAGACCTGATACGAATAGCTAGGTGGAAGGGCCTGCCCTGTGGCCGTGCCTTGAGGCCGCCTGTGGCCTGGCACGTGGCCTGACTTGTAGGCCCGTGCCCACTTACCTATATATGCCTACGTGGCCTTCCAACCCAGGTAGACCAATTCATCTATCTTACACCTACAGAACAGCTACCTAGCATCTGTTGTGTGTTCCTGGCGTGACGCCTGCCTGGTCCCCAAGACCCGACTCTATTACTAGCCACAATAGAGCCGTAGCCATTTCTGTGCGTAACAATCTAGCTCGAAAGTATAATCGTTATTCTTATAGATAAGAGGCTTATAAAAGGTCTTAGAATCCGATATACTCATCTATAACAATGCTATATCCACATCTAAAGTCCGACCAAGGCAAGTAATGCTCTTCTAAGCGCTTCTGATTTACACGGGATGACTTGAAATGTTATTGTGGACCTTGGTTCTGGAAATCCCTGTTCTCTAGTACATACGACCATACCTACTGGAGAACTCGGGATCCCGTCTGCTCTCCCATAGATAAGCCAGTAAGGGTCGGACTAGTAGTTGGGTGGGTGACCACCAGCGAATCCCTGATGTTGTATGTTTTTTTGGCAATACTGCTACCTAGCTTTATCCTTTTCAAGGGGCGATTCTTAGTTGGTGAGTCAAAGGGGGGGGCTTCATGATGTGTAGTCCTTGGCGCAAGGTAATATGATGAAGGGGCTAAAATTATCCTATTCAGGCGACTTGCCTGGACATAGTCGCCCTGTCCTACTAAGCGTCGAGACATCAAGTAAGGCAGTGACAACAGATCAGATCTTAGCAATGTCTGACACTGAACGGCAAAATCGGGGCCCAATCCTCAGAAACCAAGATTCAGTCGACTCAAAACCTCAGTACCCGAGACTGAGCAAGAAGTTGCTACATAAATTGTGTGTGCCTGATCTAGACGTCGTGGATGATGGCGCCCCAATGACAAGATGCATATGGAGGTACAGCGGCACGCCCATCTGTTAGACTTCAAGGGTATCGTGTGTCGGCGTTCTGGTCATGACCGTCCAGCTTCCGTGGCAGCCTTTTAGGGAGATCCCTTGCCTCAGCAGCGGTGCCACGACAAAGGGTTACCACATCAGCAGCATCAGCCCCCTGAGGGACCTCCTGCCTCTGTTTTCCGCGGCATTGAGAACAGGCTCTGCCTTGCCTCTATGACAAGCACCTACTGCAAAATATAAGTCTACACAATGAGTAGAGGTACTCAAATGGGACATTGTTAGAGGCTGGCGCTTAGGCCTGCCGCTTTCAAAGACATTATTCTAATTTAATTTTCGTAGGTTTGAATATTTCGTGTAGCTCACATGTCGCTTGAAATCCCCTTGTATGTATCCAAAGACAGGCTGCCGTCTTCCTAAGCCTCCAGAGTGTTAAAGTCGGGAAACACGCATCAGCATAATGTCGCATTGATGTTGGCATTTTTGGTCCTGCTGTAGTCAGTTTGCGCTACGCAATGGAAGTGGTACTAGCGCGAAAAGGCTAGGTGATGGAGGAGTTACTTCTCTTACCCAATTTAAACGTAGGGTTCGCCATTGATTGTTGGTTCGGCTTCTATCATAGTCGTGTCCCTCGCGAAATCGGCCTCGGACTGCGCGATTGTGTGCATTACATGGGCATAAGGCAGTGAGAGGAATGAATGCGTTTTGACCTTCCCATGCTGGCGGAAAGCCATGTTGTCCTGCAGAAGCAGCACCACCAGAGCTGTCGCCACAGGCTTCTGTCGATGGCAAGCTGCGACCGTGCTTGACTGACAGTGGCACCAGGTTGATGACAGTGCAAGCCGGTGCTCTAGCCTAAGACAAGGGGGGCGTCTTTCAACTTACACAAGTCAAAGTCGATATAGTTCTCTGATCTAGATGGGGCCCGGGCTCATCTTAGTGGGCTGCTCCTTTCACCCCTTTTTTTTTTGGTAAGTTAGAAATTCGCCGATGCAATCTCATCATACGCTCTGTTTCTTGCGGCTTCCATATAGAAACCGAAACGCACCAGCCGTATGAGATACGAACCAAGATCGCCAGCTAGGGCGATAAGTCTGCTCTATATGATTACTCAACTCATGGGAAAGGACCGCTTCAGGCCCCAGAAGCATCTCATACTGTTTCTCGCCAAGGCTGTTGCCGTTCTTGTCTATCAAGACTTCGCTTGGTAAAGAAATTGGGGTATGTGAAGATCTATAGTTACTATCGCATATCAATGAGCATGTTGTTGAGGGAAAAGCAGAGAACAATTATCAAAACCAGACCAAGATGGGTGATGTGATTGGTAAGACCCGCCACCCCCCAACCGCCCACCCCCCCAACCGCCCACCAGAATACACCAAAAACAGCGATTTGCAGGGGTCTATATCTCTACTAATAGTAAAGCTAGATATCTAGATTTTCTATATAGTATAGATTAAGGTATTAATATATTACTATTAGAGTTTTAAGAGGATACTATAACTTTAGAAGAAGATATAATTTTCGGAAATCTAGTTTTTATTTTAATTAGCATTTTCCTAATAACCCTAATAAAATTTATACTAAGCCTAAGAAGTAATATAAAGAGACTTTTAATATTTTATAATTATTATATCTCTATAAGTAAGCTTATTTTAAAGGAATAAAGCTATAAGATAACTTATAGCCCCTATAATATAGAGTTTCTAAGATTCTCTATTAAAACTTACTATAGAGGAATCTAATTACTTTAGTAGCTTATTAAGGACTAAGTATTATAAGCTAAGAATATAGAACTAGATTCTTAGAGTTTTATTATAATTTATTATAACCCTAAACTTTTCATATATAGCTTAATATATTTATATTATTAAAACTAGTTACTATATAATCTATTATTAAGCTACTTAAATAGCTTATAATAAGAGCTATAGGCTTTAAGATAAGATAAGAATTTAACTATACTATATTTATAGCCTAAATATTGTTATACTAGGATTCTAGATATCTAGCTTTACTATTAGTGGAGATATAGACCCCTGTAAATCGCTGTTTTTGGTGTATTCTGGTGGGCGGTTGGCGTGGTGGGCGGTTGGGGGGTGGCGGGTCTTATAATAAGCCTCTAAGGGGTGACCTGTGTTCTAAGCCTGCTCCTGCAGGTACTCAAGACAACTGGCTGGTTCTCCTGGTCTCCGCCCTGAACGAAAAACCAACCACACAAGGTCCAGTGTGCCCATTGTAGTGGTCCGCCCACACCCTGCATTCGCTCACTTCACCATGGGCGCATTAGCAAAAAAATATAATCGCAAAAAGACAAAAAAACATACAACATCAGGGATTCGCTGGTGGTCACCCACCCAACTACTAGTCCGACCCTTACTGGCTTATCTATGGGAGAGCGGACGGGATCCCGAGTTCTCCAGTAGGTATGGTCGTATGTGCTTTATTAAAGGTAGCGCAAGCATCATATTGGGAAAGGGCTGGCGATGCTTGGCGACCTTCTGCAGTCCCACCCACTCCTTTCTCGCGACGTCACTGTCCCATACAAATACATTTGTCAAGGGTCTATGCCCACGGCTCGCCCAGTCTATTTGATGACCAGTTCTAACTAAGTAGGTATCATACAAACCCCGCGCGTCCGCTCACCCCACCACCTTTTCACCGCCTAGGCATACCCCGTCCCCTGCCGCGAAGCGCCCTCTGCGCCGCTCCCTGCGGCAGCGCCTGTCCCGGGGCCTGGGGCTTCTGGCTCTCCTCGTTGCGGATCGTCTCGTCGACGCCTAGGATCAGGCAACTCGCCTCGGTGGCGGCCTGGATGGCGTTAATCTTGACGAGTGCGGGCTCCCACACGAAGCGCTCCATCATGTCGGCGACGCCCTCGTTGTTAAAGTCAACACCGGCCCAGGTCTTGCCCTTGCGGTGCTCGACGCGGAGCTTGTTGAGAATATCGGTGGCGTCGAAGCCGGCGTTCTCGCAGAGCTGGCGCGGGATCACCTCGAGCGCCTTGGCGAAGCTCTTGATGATGGCCTGTTGCTTGTGGGAGACGTCGCGGTCGGCGAAGCGGTGGAGGTACGCGGAGACCTCCATCTCGGTGGCACCTCCGCCGCCGACAATGGTGTGGTTCTTGATGGCGCGCTTGACGATCATGATGGCGTCGTGCAGGGAACGTTCCACTTCAGCAATGAACTGCTCAGCACCACCGCGCAGCACGAGCGTGCACGTCTTGGCTTCGGGGCAGTCTTCGAAGAAGTTGAAGCGCTCGCCACCAATCTGTCTCTCGTCGAAGCTGCCACAGGTACCCAAGTGCTCGTGCAGAATGTCAGAGCAGGTAGACTGGGTGACGGCGCCGGTGGCCTGGACGACGCGCTCCATATCCTCGGCGGCAACGCGGCCAGCGCAGAAGATGTCGCGGTCGGCAAAGTACTGTGTCGCAAGATCGCCGATGGGGAGCTTGCTGAGAACGACCTTTGCGCCAGTGGCGTGGATGGCTTCAAGCTTCTTGTAGATGATCTGCCACTCGGCGTCGACAATGGCCTGGTACTCGGACACCTGTTCAACGCGCACCTCAGCGTTGTCCTTCTCGGCCTTGAGCTCGAGCTCGACGTTCAGGCACACAATCTTGGGCTTCTCGAACGACTTGGGCTGCTGCTCGAAACCGGCATAGGAGAAGGTCTTCTTAAAGGCGACACCGTTGACAAACAGGGAATCAGTCAGAGATCCACCGGGAATCTTCTTGATGCCAATGAGGCGCTCGTTGAGGTCGTCTTGGTCGAGGGACAACACAGCATCGACAACCACTTCGTCTCGTCAGTTCTGTTCTATCAACGGGACCACACACAAGCTTACTCTTGGTGAAGAAAGTAGTGTTCCTCTTGATCAGCTTGCTGGTCATGGCGGTGCCGGCCAGCTTGCTGAGCGTTTCCCTTCGGTTGCCCTCGTTCGTGTCAACCGCAATCTCCTTGATCTTGTTGACGGCCATGGACGCTGCCCTCCGCAGGCCCTTGATGATGATCTGTGAGCTGACACCCTGCTCTACATGCTCCTTGGTCTCCTTCAGGATCTCGCCGGCCAGGACGACGACAGATGTGGTGCCGTCACCGACTTCGGCATCTTGCGATCGTGCAATGTCGACGAGGATTCGGGCTGCAGGGTGGACAATGTCGAGGAGCTATGAGCCCGTCAGTGGGCTGTACCCTATGGAATATGTGCGGCGGATTGCCCACCTTCATGACGGTGGCACCGTCGTTGGTGATGGTTTGCCTGCCATTCTCGTCGACCATCAACAGGTCACCGCCGTAAGGACCGAGTGTCGACTTGATAGTGGCTTGAACGGCCAAGCAGGCGTTGATGTTGGAGACAATCTGTCCCTTGCCCTGGGAGGTATCGGTTCCTGCCAAATAAGTATTCTGGTCAGCTACATCTCGTCTGGCATAGGCTTCTGGTTGCTTGCTTATTATGCTTGGGCAGTGGGGGTGGGGAGTAGGGGGGTAGAGGGGGGCTGTCTCTTAGCAACCTTCTTTCAGGACCACGATGGTCGGGGTCATTCCGCCGAACGACATGATGAAAGCAAAACTGGAAGATTCGTAGGATTCGAGGGTCTCGTTTCGTCCGTTTCGTCGTCGTCTTGGCCGTATTCGTCGTAGGGTGCGGGAGTCGAATTTTGGACCGTGGGAAGTGATGAAGCTTCTGGAGCTCCAAAAAATTGTTGCAGCCTTTCGCGACTCGACGCACAGACCATTCGAAGGATTATGTAAGGAGGGGTCTGTCACCGCTTGTTTTACCAGGTCGCTCCATGGCATTCCACGATGTATTCCACGATCCAATCTTCACGCTGCCGCATCTTGATCTTGCAGAGAACAGCAAAGCCTGCCGTCCCGCATATGCCTGTATCGAGAAGCAGCCTGGTCGATTTCTTCAGTCAAGAACCACAACCAGGAAGCACAGATGTTTATCTTCAAGATGCACCTCGTCGAAAGCATGAGATGTCTGGAACGCAACCATAATAAGCGCCTTCTGCAGCAGCCTCGCCTGCGGTCGTGCTGCAATGATTGATTGGCGTTGCAGTCAACTGCAGAATGCAGGTCTGCAGGAACCCAGTCAGACACACTAAGGAGCCGTGGATCATCCTGTCGCACAGCACTGCCCCGCGGCTGCCTGGCAGCTTTCTCATGGGTGCAGTCAAGACTCGTGATCTCTCCATCTCATTTGAGTCTCTCAATGTACGGACTCTCATCGCACCCACAGCCATGTCGAGCACGCTGTATCTCGAGAGCCCCAAGGGGAGCCAATTCCGGCTCCTCAAGCTCATGCCTGGCCGGTGGGATGATGACCTCGTCGCCACTCTCTACATGGCCTCCGAGCACCATCGCTTCACTGCACTGTCTTACACGTGGGGAACGAGCAGGCGATCACAAACCATCATGGTCAATAACGAAGTTCAGTACATCACCTTTAATCTTGACCACGCCCTCCGCACATTGCGATCGCAAAACGACAGCGTCGTCATCTGGGTCGACTCGCTCTGCATCGATCAGACCAATGTTGGAGAGAAGACACATCAGGTCACTTTGATGCACGACCTGTTCTATTGGGCGGAAGATGTACATGCCTACCTGGGCGACTCTTTGGATCGCAGCCATCCACGGTACAACCAGCATTTCAAGCAGCTGGGAGCACACCCGCACGTGCATCTCAACGGCGACGCAAGAGACGATGAGATTATCCAACAGGTCCTGTTCAGGGACTGGCCAGCCGCAACGAAATTAAGTTTCATGACAGGCCATCAGCTCAACCTATACGTATTTTGCCTTCTGGCAGCTCTTTCGCAGGCATCTTGGCTGAAGCGCATCACTGACAATCAGATCTTGTTTAACAAGCCTGAGACGTCCAACGCGAGTAGAGCTTTGGAAATCGCAAAATTGAAAGCCCTATTCGAACACTTGCGTGCTTTCGCAATATCGCCGTGGTGGGACCGCATGTGGATCGTGCAAGAAGCTGGGGTTGCGCGAGTACTCCGTTTGACATATGGAAAGATCACACTACCCTTCGAGGCCCTCGAACGGGCTAGGTCTCGTCTCGAGAGGATAGCGCTTCCCTCACACTCGCGTCAGGAGAACATGAAGGTCATGTCCTTGCTCGCCACAAAGATTAACACACTCAGCAAGCTTCGAGAGATCCGCTCAACCCGTATTGACAATCTGGTCCACGGCACGAGGCGCTCGCCACTTCAGGGGCGGTACGACTATCTTGCTCTTTCCATGGGAAGTGCTCTGCTTTGGCTTTTGAGAATGTTTCGCAACAGGCGATCATCGGAGCCAAGAGACAAAGTCATCGCGCTGCTGCAGCTACGTCAAGACATGGGAAGCTTTCTCAACGACAGCATCAGCCCAGACTACGCATGCACTGTCCACCACTTATTTACTCATGTTTCCTTCACAATCATGAGAACGACTGGTATCTTTTGGGTTACCACAGGCGACCTTCTGTCAAAGTCCCGACACGATATCCCTTCGTGGGTTCCGGATTGGTCCAACGACACGGCAGCCTATGACCCTCACCACTTGAGTTGGAAACTACCGATCCTTTTCAGCGCTGGCGAGGCAGCCTATCTGACCGACGAGAAAGACAAGACCACCACTCAAGAACATTGTCGTGATCTGTTGCAGAACACACGATTTGCGCCCGTCCTGAGCAAGCCCTGGCGCTTGGCTTTGGCCTGGGTCCGTAAATATGATTGGGTTGTTCGGGTTGGTGACACAGTGGACATTGACGATGGCCAGGCGTTGACGACCAGCTTCTTTTCGAAGCTGCAGCGCCAACGTAGCGGCCTCCTCGACGGATTCAAACCTCAAGTAGCTCTGCTCACCGAAGGCGAGTTCATCGACACAATCACGGGATGTTTTGATGCTCTCATTCCCAAGCTGTGCAATGAATCAGCCGCGCTGATGGAAATGCTAAGGCATTTCGCCGATGGCTTCCTGGACATCCGAAGATCTGATCGAAGCTTTGACATAGAAAGACCGCTCCTGGATGACTTGGGCCGGGTTCTCTGCTCTGGCGTTTTCCAAGACCCCACCGGTTTTGACGGCATGCACAGCTCCTGGTATCGAATCCTTCCCGAAAGCCGCCAAGAGTTCATCGTTTCGTGCGTCGCCCTACAAATTCTTGGCTGGAGATTCGTCGAGCCCTCTGTGGAGATGACTGCGTCTTCTAGAAAGGCCGCAGGAGTCCGCTCTGGACAGAAAGATTTGTTCGATTTTGTATTCACAAGAGAAGAGGGCTGCCCCAGGACTGAGGCCATGCACCTCATTTTCTGGCCGGTTTGGGATACCTTCTCTCTAGAAGCGGCATCAGACGTCAAGGACTGGGGAAACGACATGATTCACAATGAGAACCCCATACATATTTTCAAACTCCCGCCCGGCGAAGACACCCCGCCTGATGCAGAAATGGCCCACGCTAGGCTCGTCGTTCGTGAGGTTATGGCATCCATGTCCTCGATATGTCGGCCCATCATGACGCGCCGAGGCTGCTTCGGGCTCGCCCCCTTGAACGTCAAGAGTGGCAAAGATCATGTCTTCGCCATTCCTGGCGCCACAATGCCGGCGGTGTTGAGGTGCGACATGCATAAAGACCCCCAAAGCACGGTCGAATTTACCATGCAAAACAGCCAGATGACCGAGAAAATGGGCATGGAGATGATTGGAACATGCTATCTTGACGGCGTCATGGACAGGAAGACACGGTATACATTTATGCGGTCAACTCGTCTCTGCATACTTTGACAGTACCTTGAAGAGCAACGTTCGAATTCATGGATCTGTCCCAACAGTCGAGGCGACACTGCAGAGATCGCAATAGTGGGTGGTGCGCAGACGAGCAAGCAAGTGATCTGATGAGATGTAATGAATTACGATATGATGACTTCACATAACTCTGATACCAACTTTGAGGCCACGCTCCTGTAAAACGAACTCCAGCCTCAACCTTTGAACGCCGTGATATCGCCTGTCGTCCCGTTGCCCCCAAAAAGCCAATCCGCGGCTCTACAACCCAGCCTTCAAGCCTTCGACCACCTCCTTCAACATCCTCAAGCCGTAAAATTTGGCCACGTTTCCGTACACTGCAACCTTCTTCAATATGTCTTCACGGCTCACGCTCTCGACCCACGCGCCGCTGCAGACGCAGTGCTCCATGAACTCATTCAGTCTCAGCGCGCGGCACTTTTCGCACTGCACGTCCTGGCTCGCCCACTCGACGGCGAACCCTTCGACCTGCGCGATGAGCCTCTCCTCGATGGTGTTGCGGTCATACTCGGCCTCGCAGAACCCGCACCGCCAAGGCTTGTGCGTCTGCCCCTGGTCGGGCAGCAGGTCGGCGTCGCGACAGAAGTCCATGTCACGCGCCATGGTGCACACGTCGCAGCTGAGCTGCGGCATCTTGAGGCTGGCGCTCGGGTTCTGGAACGTCGCGCCCTTGGAGAACTCGCGGACGTCAAACATGGCGAGGAGCTCCTTGCGCAGCAGACGCGCCTCCAGCGTGATATTGCGGTCCAGGCTGAGGACTTGCATGAGAGACTTGACGAGCTCGAGAAGCGGGCCGGAGCGTGCACCGGCGCCGTCGGTATAGGTGGCGAGATGGGATCCAGGGAGAACAGGGAAGGAATAGTCGCCCGCGAGTTCGGGGTGGAGGAGCTCGCGCTTCTGAACAGCGAGAAGGTTCGAGATGGTCTTTTTAAGGGGCTTCTCGAAGCTCTTGCCGAGAAGGAGGGCACTCTCGTCGTTCGGGTCTTTGCGAGAGGGTGGTAGCTGGGTCAGACGCTGGGTGGAGAAGTCCTCAATATCAAAGGCCCGTTTGTTGCGGTGCATGAGGTTGATGAACTCAATGACCCATTCTTGGAAAATGGGCTGAAGACGCTCGGGAAGGAAGGTAGACATTTGCCAGTGCATAATCGTCTCGAGGTTCTGGTTGTCCGCCTCGACGACCTCCTGGCACGCCTTGCCTCCATAGTTGAACTCATCATACCAGACGAGGTAGTCCCAGTACTCCTTGATCTCGAGATCAATAAAGTGGAACAGGGGCTTGCTCTTGATTGACTTGATGACGTAGTTGCTGTAGGCGTACGCGGTTCCGACTTCAGCTTTCGTGGTCTGCAAAAGCAGACGATTCGAGTTGGCAAAGATGACTTGGCTACCGACCTTGCGGAAATCGCCCATAAGCTGTTGGAAGGCTTTGCGCGACATCATTTGCACGTAGTAGTGCAGTGCGCGGTCGTAGAGGAAGGAATCAGGACTCTCAACCCAACGCACAAGATGCTGCACCATGACATCGGCCATGGTGTTGCCCTTGCAGGCCTCTACCCACCACGCCTTGACCATCTCTCGCAGAACCAGTACTCCTGCGTTGGCGAACGCATTATCGAACGAGATGACCTCATCAGCGTTTGCTCCAGCCTCCGCGGCAGGGTTAAAAGACACAGAGTCAGCGCCCTCAAGATCATTAATCAAAGAGGAGGTCAGAATCGTATTGATGGCCAGATTGCGGACCTCAAGATCGATGCAGACAGAAGCGAAAGTGCCGGGTTTGTTGACGTTCGGCATGGAAACTGTTTCCAGGGGACCCGTGACATCGTCCTTTTCGTAACCAGCATGATCCGGACGTGGGCTGGCGGACCACCACAGGACAACATTGTTGTTTTGAAGTCGTCTGGCGTAGGCAATGTCGATCAAGAAGCGTGGGTCGTCCCTTTCCAGGTTGCAAAGTGGAACATCGCCGTATCTCGCGAGAGACATGAGATGCATAACCCATGATCCCAGACCAAGGTAATGGCCTACAAGCCTTCTGGCTGCAACAGTCTGCCAGCCGAGGGGCGGCAGCGAGCTGTCGGTCGTGTCGTACTTCAAAGCTAGGACGGGGAATTCACTGAGGACGGGTACTTCCGAGATCAAATGGTTCCGTTGTGATGATTGAATGACGAGCATCAGCGGTTTGACCTCGTCCTTACGCAGCTTCTTGACAATGTCGCCGAGTTCAAGGTGAAGTTTCCTCCGTGTCGTGACTTGGGTGATCTTGAAATTGAGCTTCTCCTGGTACGGGAAGCACTCCTGCCAGTTAGTGCCCTCCGCTTCTTGGTCGCGCTGCTTGAGGGTATCCGTGTATATCCTGGAAACATTTGGTAGCTCTTGTCCCGAGTCTCTACTCTTGTTCAGGATGACGATGTGTGCCTGGCTGTTGGTTGTGGAGAAGAGACCAAAGATTTGGCGTTCGCCCGCGGAGATCTGAGAGATGTAAAGATAGGCCAGGGGAGAGGCTTCCAGATACGGCTTGGGTTTCAGAGGTCGCATCAACCCGACAAGATCGAAGCCCTCGTCAAGACCTTTGCCAAGAACCCCATCCTTGGTTTCATCAACAGTACAAATGTTGCCAAGCTGAAGTACAGCACGGATATTGAGGGGCAAATTCTTCTCATAGACACCTTCCACACTGGGGTGGTTGAACAGTGTGGAGAAGCTGTCGGCCTCGTTGAAGTAAACATCCTCAGGCACCGTGAGCTTGAAGAGATGTGTTGATGAGTGGCCGTTGGGAAGCGTATGGTTGACTTGTTCCACTTCACAGCCAGCAATATCGACATCAGGCATGTCATTACTCTTCAAATTGAGGAACACCACGCGTGGCACCTTGATCTTGACTGTGTGAATCTTGGCATGAATAAGAACGTAGGCGTTAACGACACCCGGTGTCTCCGTCGTTTTCAAGTGCAACAAGTGCCAGTTGTTGGTGAATGTGTTGTGAGCTTGGTGCATGAACGTTGTCTGGATATTGCTCTGCATATTGTTGCGTCTGTCACCAAACAGTTTGCGTCGTTGGATGCGTGCTTGTCTCTGGATCTTCCATTTCTGCTTCTGATACTCGAGGAAGGCAGGGTAGTTCTCTGAAGGCGAAGGCATAGTTTTGGGTAACGCAGCGAAAGGATCTAGTGACTCTGTCGGTTCGGGGGACTTTCTCTTTTGCGACGTTGCTGCAGACTGCGATGCCGCAACGAGGGACGTTACAGTCTTGGGCTTGAGCAGCTTCGTTCCGAAATCTTCCATATCTTCTGCACCACGTCCATTCAGGTTTGTGATGTCTTCAAGGGGTCCCTTGGTAAACATATCTGTCATCTTTTTCTGCTTCATCTTGTCGTCCTTGATATTAATCCTGCGCTGAAGCCAGTCGGGGTGAGGCACTCGAGGCACTGGGTTCCGGACTTTCTGCAGTGCGGCAGGAATGGTGATGAGCTTTTGAATGACGGAGCCCAGACGCTCGAGATAGTAGTCCCAGTCGAGAAGAGCCCGAGGATCAGTGTCAGCGGGCTCTTCTTTGAGCCACTTCTTGAGATACGCCCGCTTCGTCTGCTCCTCCGCAGAAAAGATTGCTACCGGCACGGCTCGTTCTGTGACAGGTGCATTTTTTGGTCTTGCGCAGATGATGAACTTGCAGTTCAGACCCTTGTCTTTGACCATTTGTTCACCCAGGAAGTCGGCTAAGCGCTTGGCCGTTGTGATGGATGTTGATTTCTGCGAGCCGTACTCCTCCAATGTCTTGGACATGCTTCGGTTCTCCGAAATCAGCTCCATCAGCTCCTCGTCCTCGAGCGATGCGCCCTTGCTGTGAAGGATGTCGAGCCAGCGGTTAGCCACCTTTGCAACGGCCGTGTAACACTCGGCCAGCGTTGTGCCTTCCAGGAAGAATTTGAAGATTTGTTGCTGGAAGATCTTGATGAGCTTTAGCTCACCTCGGCGCTTGACTTCGAAACCCTTGAGCTCTGCCAGACTCCCATCGTCGTTGAAGACAGCATAACGTTTCTTCAAGTTCTTGTCCTCTTCCTTTGAAGTCGGCAAGACCATAGCCTTGTACGGACCGTCGACTTCGAAAAAGATGGAGTTGTCGCTGTGCGTCTCATACTTGAACGTCTTCTCGTCAACCAGGGTTTGGTACTGGTGATTCGTGAACTTGGCATGGACAAGATGGTTCAACATGACACAGGGGTACGAGACAGTGACCTTCTTTCCGCCTTTCATCTTGAACGAGAAGTTCTCCGGGAACGTGGCAGGCAACATGCACCAGATACCGTCGGTATCCAGCTCCAATGGACGACCAAGACGCTCGACAAGACCACGAGCAAGCTGAATAATCGTCGCGCCCGTCAAGCATGTGACACCAGCCATCTCGAGCGAGTACCATCGCGAACCCTTTCGCATGACGTAGCCGTAGAAGGAATTGAGAATGACCTTGTGCGCCAATTGTAGCGAATCGAACAAGATGATCATCTTCTTCGCGGCTTCAACTTCAGTAGAGCTTGCTCCAGATGACTTGAGGGCCTCTGTTTTCCCCTTCCAGACTTTCGCCTTTCCTTTGTAGTCGTAACGACGGTCGCGAAAGTCGCGCACCGTGTTGATGTAGAACGGATTCTCTCGCTGGCAAATGATGGCTTCCTTGGTTATGATGGTGGAGTCGTGAATCTTATGGTAGATCTTCTGCGAATACATTTGCAGACGTTTCCTGATGAGAGCCGTTTGTTCGTCTTGCGATAAGTCTTGGAACGGTCGCATGGGCGAGTTGGGATATTTCCCAGGGAACTTTTCGCTTTCCAGCGCGTTTCGGATCATGTTGTACTCGTCCCTCTTCGCAGGGATGTACTCTCCTCGCCACGACCATGGCAGACGTCGATCGCAGGTCTTGCCCGGTCTGTTGAAGTCGCAAGCCGCACAGTCGGATTCCTGGACCATGGAGTCGGGTTGCAGTCGATTAGTCGTCATGATGTTGGGATACATGGAAGCAACGTCCAAGTGGTAGATGAGGGGTCGCTCCATGCGATTTGGTGTCTCCTTGAGAGCCTGTAGTCGTGCGGCTACTTGTGCCTTGACCTCCTCGTAGTTCTCGACATCAGCCATGGACTTTTTCTCCTCGACCTCGATGGTGAATCGTAGTGCTGAATCAAGGTCATGGAGCAGCTCGTCCACTGCTGTTGGGTCCACGGCGAAGTTGACTGGTATGTCGGCCCGGAACACACCAGCTTCTATACTCTCGACGTGACCACCGACATAAGTTTCGGAATCGAGCAAGTGCCCGTCCCAGAAGGCCTCTTTTGGCGCCATGTGCTTGTTTGGAAGCACAATTTTCCTTTCGTACGCCTGCACCATCAGTAGCATCTCGCAAAGTGTGCCGGTACCTTTCCTCAGCGTGTCATCGCCGCCCAGCGGCAGAATCGTGCAGAGGGAGAAGACGAACGGGTGGACGTATTTCATGTACAGGTAGTAGGTTGCAACAGCATCGGAAACAGAATACTCTGCCAGGGTTTGCGGTCGCTCAGCGGCATAGGGCGTCATGAGTTCTGGGTCAAGCTCGTCTGGGTCGTATCCGAGCTTCGCGACTGTGACAGCTTTCAGACCTCGCGATCCTTGTGGCAGGTATGAATCACGATTGACCCAGTGGAAGCAGTCCATGTGCACGCCATAGCTGCATTGGTACTGGTCCTCGCTGTTCTTTTTCCAGCCAATCTCCTGGTACATGTCGATGCCATGGAAACTGGCTCTCGTTTCCACGAAGGGCCAATCGAAGAAGTCACCGTTGTACGTTGCAATGACAGTTGGTCTGGCCTCCTTGATGTGCTCGAAGAATCTCTCAATGACATTCTTCTCGTCCTTCTCGTTGAAAATCATGAATGCACCTGGGTACTCGGGTTTTGGCGTGTATTCGAAATCTGAAATGTCTTCAGAGACAATCTCGCGATTGGTAATCAGGAAACCCTGGCCGTCGATCATGTACGATATCATCATGATCTGGTCCGTGGCGGCGTCAGGGAATTTCAGGGGCAATTTCGACGTCTCGATATCGTAGGCCATGACCACGGGGTCGGCCATGGCTAGTCGCTCCTCGTTGCAGATGATCGATGTGACGCCGTGTTTTGAGTCCACTAAGTACCATTTTCCCACTCGTATATCTGTTGTTCGTCAGTATCTCCTCGGTTGTCAAGCCATTGCCCAAGGTCCATACTCAAATCAATCATTACTCGTACATGGTACGGCACATCGTACTCTCGGATATCGACAATAAAGTCGCTCGCATCGGCAAAAGAAGCATTCGCTCGTCTATCGTCTTCTCGTGAATCGTCAAAAAGGTCAATGTCGCCATTCGCCCTGCCAAAACGTTAGTATTCCAGACCCTCGAAGAGCAGTGGCAGGGGGGGGGGGAGGGGACCTACGTGGCAACCTCTGCATACGCCTCCATCACATCGACGTTCTTCTTATTCTTCGCCGCAATAGGCATAATGTCCCTGCGCGCCGCCAGCAAGTCGTTGACGTTGAGGAACCGCAGCTCCAAGAACGGCCGCCGGTAGCCCAGCAAGTGGTTCGGCACCTTCAGGTCCTCCTTCTCGACCCTCCTGATCGTCTTGACGCAGCCGTCGCCGGGCACGCGCTTGAGCCACTCCTCGACCTCGCTCTCGCGGCCCTTTTTGACGGCGACGAGAAAGTAGGGCTCGTACTCCACCGTCGCCTTGAACGTCGCGCCGCCGTCCTCCATGAAGGACCAGTCGAGCGCGGCGCGCTTTACCCCTTGGCCCTCGCCCTTCGACGGCCGTGGGGCTACACGTTGACGAGCCAGCCCTTGCACCGCCGGCCGCCGCCCTCGTGGCGCGCGAAGCCCATGGCCTCGTCGATCGTGTTGCCCAGGCGGGTGCGCTCCCAGCGCTCGTCGGCGGAGGTGGCCTCGGCGCGGGAGGAGGCCTCGAAGGTTCGGGGTTTCGTGGAGCGGCCGCCGTGGAAGGCGACCTTGCCGCCGCGGCGGTATCCCTTTTGCGGGCGCCGCAGTGATGTGTTTGGCATTGTTTCGCTGTGAGGGAGGGGTCTAGGCTTCGAGGTGGGAGGGGAAGAGAGAGAAAGGGGCGGAGAGGGAGGGGCCCAAAGAAAAGGGGAGGAAGACTTGGGTTGTCGTGCGCTCAGGGTATCATGGGAAAAAAGGAGTGCAAGTCGACAGACAAGTGATGTGGTGATCGAGACTCTCGATCGTCACTCAGTAGGGAGATTGGCCTTTCGGAATACAATCTCGCACCGTGACAGGGCGTTGTTTCGAGGGGAATGTCGTCTTGGATCCAGGGTGTGTGTAGTGTGTGCTAAAGTGGAATTGCAAATCGCGGGTCAGTCCCTCAGCAACCGGTACGCGTCGAGTCGCGCTTCGACGCGACACACTAGACACAGACGACGCGCCGCACAGGGCAAATCAATTAACAAGGGCCCTGCATACAGTCGATTGACGCACAGACCACCTATATTCTCAGAAACGCAGGACGTCATCTTCATCAGCCCATCATCGACATTTCGAGCCATGAACCGGATCTGGAATTGACGCCATCACGACATCAACCCTGACCGCTTCCACCATGTCGTCAAATCAAAATCACACAGAGACCCGCCAGGAGGCCAAGAAAGGCTGGCTCTGGAGCCGCGGTGCCCCTTCCAACGAGCCGGCAGAAACCTCAGCCCCCTCCTCGTCACCAGAGACGGCGATAGATCCCAGGTTAGATCTCAGTCGCGCGCCTCCCAAGGAGCTTCCCAAGCTCGTCAACGCCAAGCTCGATCCTGCCGACTTCAAGACCAACTTCCCCCCGCAGCAGGGTGAAGGTCCCACCGTCGGTGATGCGGTGAAAACCATCAAGCCCGAGGACTTTCTTGCCGTGAGCCAGGCGCCATGCGCGCGAGATGGATACATCGCAGGCATTGTCTCCGGCGGACTTGTTGGTGGTATCAAGTTCGTCATGAAGGGTCAGCTTCCTCCCCGCAGTCCCGTTCCATCGGGGTCTTTTTCATGAGGTAAACTCACACTATGCAGCTCCCATCCCAAAGGTCGCCAATTGGGCCGTCGGCAGTACCCTCGCCGGTGCGGCTGCATCGTATGAGTACTGTCAGTGGAAGCGCAGGCAGGAGAGGGTTCGCATGAGGCGGACAGTCGAAGTGTATCATGAGGCCATGGCCGACAAGCACAAGAAGGAAGCCGAAGCACGTAGGGAGGCACGGGACGAGGCTGCAAGGGCGAAGCAGGCGGCAGCAGAGGCGGCAAGGCAGGATCCTTGGTATAAATTCTGGTAGAGCTTCTTCTCGCTTGTAACAATCGTGTCAGAGAACACTGTACAGCCATGGAAGCGAACGTGCAGTCGTGATATGATCATGTCGAGTACTCCATTCTTTATTTCGCCATGCCAGACTTCTTCTGAAGACAGCATGTGAGTCATCGTGAGAACCCTAAGACTATTCCTCGCTCCAGTGCCCATGACGCCAAAGCCCGTTCCATGAAATGCCATCTCGATATAAAGGGTCAAGGCTGCCTAAATCCAGTTCTGGTGCCTTGTATCGAGTTTGAAACGCCTGCCACCATCATAAAGTCGTGATATGCGAGCCATGTCATCAGACAGCCGACTCAGTCAGAGCAGTTGCGCCAGCTTCTGTCTCCATAAAACGGACACGCCGGGCTACAGCTGACGCTGATGCTGTCTTGTTTTTCATGACTGCAGCCGGGAGGCCGGCCGCACTGCCGCGACGACGCTGGCTGCGCTTGTTTCTCGCCTCACTCTCTTCCCTTTTTCTATATTCGGCCAACTGCTGCTTCCGCTTCGCAATCCTAGCGCGTGTTTGGGCAGCCGTGGGCTTGAAGCCGATGCCGTTGACGCCAACGCCATCGTCATCCGAGTCGTCGGGGTCGTAGACGGTGATCTCGTCCTCGTGCCAAGTCAAGGCTGCTCGAACGGGATCGACGACCGTGGGTATCTCATCTTCGCTGTCGCTGATCTCGGTATTTTTCTTGGCGTGCTCCTTCTTCTTCGGCGTCCTCCTCGGAGGCGGGGTACCGACGCGTTTCGGCTGACGGGACTTGGAGTCCTGCAGGCGGTTGATTGAAGGATAGGATCTGTGGAGCTGATCGGCGGTGGAAGAAAGATCGGAGCCGGGTGCAATTGCATCCTTGATTGTGACGGCCTTGAGGGCAAGCTGCGGCTGTGGTTCGGCATTGGGCACCGTGGAGCTTCGCTGTGGGCTGGGAGATACGGGCCGCTCACAGTTGTCGGTCGCTGAATCGTGCATTTCGACATCGGGAAGTTTTTGTCGCTTGCGCGTTGTCGGGCTGCCATCATCTTCATCATTGTCGGGTTCGTCAGGACCTGCGAGCAGGGACCGGAAGGCTACATGTTGGTCTGGGTGTTGCATTTGCAGCATCTGCTGCTGCTGGGGAATTACCCCGCCCCCACCCTGCTCTTCGATGTTGAGTCCCTTGAATTGGCGGGCAAATCTGGTTCGCGGGCTCTCACAGCCGGACTCTTCGCTGCTAGGAGGAGGTAATCGAAAGGAAAATTGCGCATTCGTGTATGCCGGTGCAATGCTGCTGTCGTCTTCGCCTCGTTTGCGCTTTGGGGTCGCCTGTTTGTGCTGAGGCGGGGCGGGCCCGGTCGACGGCGGCTGGGTGGTGAGAGCCATTTCATTAGGCATTTGTGTGTGCGTAGAGGTTGATTGAACGACCCGGTGTCAGGAGATGTGTCGTGATGATATTCCAGCGCAGCTGCAGGTATATGGATGGAGGAAATTTGTGATTAGGGAATTAAAGGGCACCGTCTAGTCTCTCGGCGGTGAGGTTGAAGCCAGCTTCGTGTCGTCCTGTTGGGCTGTGCTGTGCTGGCCCATGTATCATGGGTAGAATGGAACAAGAAGAAGAAGAAGAAGTGCCGAACGTTACGCTCAAGCACTCAAATATGGTCAAGGTTTGGGATCTCTCTGGGTCTTTATGAGTACAGCCCGGCGTAAGGCAACGCCAGAAGGTGCTTGCACTCAGTGAAGAGGGAAAGACACGCGTTGGGAGGGGATTAAGCGCACTTCGCTATGCGACAGTCAGAGGAAGGTTCCCGGGGCCTGGTGACTGCCCGCCCTCCAAAATGGCCCAAAGGAAGGAAGTGCTGGCAAGGTCGAAGGGAAGGAGTAACCAAGCAAAGGCCGCGTAGTGAGACGCAACTGACTAAGCGGTGCTACCAAGTACGGGCCCTTCGTCTTCAGTGCCGTCAATGCAAGATCCCTCTCCTAAGGTAAAGTTTGAAGCACACTCGGTCCGCCTCGATCGCCAGCCTCGCTCGAGGTTTCAAAGCTAGGAAGCCTTCTCGTCGAGTCATTTCAAAAATGTAGCTGTGTCGTCATGCTTCCTCCTTCACAGCTGCATCTGGGCGCCTGCAGGAGGTCTGCCCAACCACTGTTCGACAAGGTGTCACGGGTGCGACTCCGCCTTTGTGAGGTGCGTGCCTCTGCAGCACGTCCTGGGCGCCGGCACATGTCAATTGCAGGGAAAACAGGGTGAATCGTCATGTTCATCAATTAGGGCGCTCTGATGAGGCTTACAGATACTAATCAACTTGGGCACATTGTTTACTCGCTCCAGCCACGGTACACAATTCGTGCGCCGTAGACGTCGCCCTTCTTCAGCACCGATTGCGACCTCCACTCGTCAACGTTGATGGCATTGACGTAGCGACTCGGCTCAACGCAAAAGCCGCTGCGTTTGCCTCGCGCTGGCAGCCCGCCAACGGCAGGCACGTCAATATACTTGCCTGTGTAGAACTGGAACGCGGGCTCCGTGCTGGCCACTTCGAGGTGCACCTTACTCTCTGGGTGGTACGCCTGAACGAGCGTCGTCAGAGGGCTGTTGCGTGTGTCCAGGGGGACTGCGCCGGCCGCTTCGTTGACGACGAAGCAGTCGTCAATGTCGGGCTCTTCAGCACCCAGTGTGAAGGCCTTGCCACCGGTAATACCCTTGCCGAAAGCCGTGGGGCCGCCTGTAGGAATGCCGCCGTCATCGACGGGGAGGTACTTGTCGGTCGCAAGCGTGATCTCGGTGCCCTCGATTGTCGGTCCGCCCGTCAGGTTGAAGTAGGAGTGGTTTGTCAGGTTGACGGCCGTCTCGTCAGCGCCGCCGACGAGCTTGGTCTCGTAGTCGATTCCCAGGACGTTGACCTCCTTGCCGTTCTGCTTCTGCACACCTGCAGTGTAGGTGATGATGGTCTCGACCGAGCCTGGGTATCCCTCGTCGCCATCCTCGCTGAGCAGAGAGAACTGCACGCTCTCGCCACCCTCGAGGCCGTCAACGCCGGGAATGGAGCGCACGCCGACGGGCTTGGGACCGTTCCACTCCAGCTTGCCCCAGCCCTTGTTGCCGCCGTGGAGGTGGTTGACGCCGTTGTTGGCGGCCAGTGTGTAGGACTTGCCGCCGTTGAGGGAGTCAATCTTGGCGTTCTTGACGCGGTTGGCGATGCGGCCGATGGTCTCGCCGAAGAAAGGAGAGTTGTGCTGCTCGTACAGCTCCTTGGTGGGGAAGCCCTGGACAATGTTGATGCCCTTGACCTGGAATGACTGGATGATGGCGCCGAGGGCCAGAAACTCGAAAGGTGCGTCAGCCATGTTGTCGGTTTGCGTTCTGTGCCTTGCGGTGAGTGGAAAGGATGTGGGATCAAGAAGAGTTGATCATGATGGAATCAAAACGATGGCAGCAAGGCAGCATGCGGCCCTTATGTGCATCATGACGGCGGCGGCCGATTGACCCAGTTTGGCGGGATTCAGGGCTCTCGCCACCAGTTTACTTGGTCGCAAACCCGCTCGAATCTCCTTGGATCCCCATACTTCCCCTTCTGCCCCTCATACCGACCTACCTGAGCAACGCACAGCACATTCAGGCTGATTCCACGCACCCACGAACCTTGCTGGTGCGGAACGCGAGGAGGGGCGAAATGACGGCGGTGCGGGGCATGGCGGGGTAATTGGAGACACAGAAACACAGAAGACTCAGGCTGAGAGGCAACGAGGATCGAGGATCGAGACAGGCGACACAGCGCCCGCCGACATCCGGCAATGCGCGACTTTGACTGGTGCGGGTACTTGAACCGTGGCCGGTCCTTCTTTTCGGCGCGCCGATGACACCTTGGTAGCGGCTCCGAGTGGCCGTCGTGTCGTGCTAGTTGTGGAATCATTGAGCGATACTCCCCGACAGAGGGCCGGTGGATGCGCACCAGGAGAGAGCGGGATTCATAATGGGGCATCGAGAAACATCTGTGATGGAGTTTTGAACGGAAAACAGCTTCATCACATGACACACTTGGACAGATACAATGACCGGCCGGTCCCTGCAATCTCCTCCTCGTCACTATTCGACCAAACAAACAATTTGCCAACGCATCTCCCGCCAACCGTTTTGCTCGACCTCATCGTCCGATCTGGTCCACAGCATGTAAGGTGGCGCCAACACGGGAGCTGTGCGACGCGGGACCTGGCACTACGAGCTCTCGCCCGAAATGAATGGGCGCAGCTCATCACGGGGCTCGCTCGACCTGCCAGCACAGCATCGTGTTACTTCTTTCGGCCTGCCATGCAGCCCGTTGAGGAAAAGCTTAAACGCCTCCTCTGTCGCTTACCGCTACGAAGAAGCAACGCCTATGGCCACAGTCCGAGTGGCTTGACCATTCGAGTCCTGGCGGCAGCCCAGCTGAGGAAGCTTGACTAAAAGCTTGTCCAGCCCTACAACCCCTGGCTCTAGAAACTTGCCGCCGTTCAGGGGTGCTGGCGGCAGATTTATGCTTACTTCGACCCCGGATCGTCTGGCGCAATTGGGGGGAGTTTGTTGGGACATTGCGATGGCAACATCGAACAGAAATGTTTTGCAAGAGATGCCAGAGTGTTTTCCACGTGTTACATCAGTGCGGGTCTCGGCGAAGCTCGACAGATGACGATGCCACGAGATTCTTATCTGTTGTTTTCAACGCTGACCACATTACACCTTGTTTACCTGAAGGGCGAAAGATGAAGGAAAAGCACAAATCAGGGGCTCGGGTGGCACAAATATTGATCATAGCTCCCACACCAGGAGCGCGGTCGTTCAGCTAGTCGCGACGTTTAGACCCTGCATCAATTGCCATGCCTGGGCCGGGCTCTCCTCATCCCGGCTTCACCCACACCCAGCTCAGCACCACGCGACCGACTACCTTCAGTTTGTCTGGTAGTGTCTCTGCTGTCTGTCCAGGCGAGGCGTTCTTGACGGTGAGGCTTTTCGCAAACAAATCGTGGAAGGATAAGCCTGTCGCGGCCTACGTCGAGAGGAGCGAGATGTCTATATATTGTCCGTCGCACCTGTGTCGGGTGTTACTATTTCGCAGCTATTCATCATCATTTGCCAACTTCCTTCACTCTGCTCTTGTATCTTCCTAAGCATTCTGAAATCCTCGTCTTAACCCAATTTCAGAGATACAGAATGCTCCCCCTGCTCACCCTCCCTGCCCTTGTGGCCGTCGCGGCTGCCACGACCCCTTTCCGCACCCACAAGAACACTGTCCCCTTCAACAGCACCGTACCTGCAGCCCTCTTTTCTCTCGCTCGTCGACAGTGCGACGTTGCCTGTGGCGAAGGGTCATGCCTCGAGACTGGCCAGACTTGTTGCGATGAGACCATCGGCTCATACTGTGAGGCCGGCTACGTGTGCAACCCTGACGGGTGCTGCCCTGAGGGCGATATCTGCGACGGACCAGCCGAGACGTGTATTGATGAGACGGAAGCCCTCTGCGGTGTTTGTACGTCTTGATTTCTCTTTATCTTTCAGACTCCAAACTCCAATATGTGGTGTGCTGTGCTTTCGGCAGCCCCTTTTCCTCTCCGGCCCCACCCCTACTTTCTTCTGTCTCTTCTTCATGGTTGGCTTGTTCGTTCCCACCCTTTAAAGAAGCCCAGTTCGACTAACCCAGCTGTTGAAAAAGTCTGCATCCCCGGTGATGCCCAATGCTGCAACGGTGATGCGGGTCAGTTTTGCGAAGCGGGTAGCCTCTGTGTGGAAACCGGCTGTGAGCCCATTGACGGCGGCCCTGTTGACCCTGTCGACCCTACGGATCCAACAGGCCCTACCGACCCTACTGGTCCTGTCGACCCTACGGATCCCACCGGTCCCGTGGATCCTGCCAATCCTACCGACCCTACGGATCCTACGGATCCTGTGAACCCTACCGACCCGACCCCGACGCCCGGCACCGGGAACGGCAGCGGTGGAAACAACGGTGGCAGCAATGGAGGCAATGGCAACGATGGAAACAACGGAAGCAATGGCAATAATGGAAATAACGGCAACAACGGCAACAACGGCGCCAATGGCAGCAACGGCGCCAACGGTGCCAATGGTAGCAACGGCAGCAATGGGAATAGCAACGGCAACGGCTCGAGCGCAGGTCATGTTAGCAGCCCACAGATGGCGCTTCTCCTGCTTGTCTTCGGAGCCTTGCTGCTCCTATAGGATAGCCGCGGACTCTGTTCGTCGGTGGCATGTCTTGTATTTCATCGTGCACATAATCAGTCGATTCTTTGGCTTGAGCGGTCGTGCGCAGGGACTCACGCCAAGGACTGGGCTGGACATAATTGGACATCGAATTTGCAAATAGATCAACTGTGAGAGAGTCATCACAACATGCGCCTCAAAACCCGAACGAAGGTAAATGTGACGAATGGAGCAAGGATCAGCCATGCCAAGTCAACTTCACCATGAGATCAGGACACAGTTTTAGCGGTCAATGCCAGGGACAAACAATAAGATGCACATCGTCCGCCGCCGGTGACAGAAAGCAAAGCTGACAAACATCACCCGCTGTCATCGCTTCCCGACTCGTCATCGTCATCGAGGAACGCCAAGTCTGCCTGCGCCCCGGATCGCCCCCGCGCTTTCGACGACACGCCAAAGTCTTCATCCTCCTCCTCACTGCCATCGTTTCCGCCCCCCTCGCTCGCTCCGCTGCCCTCGTCGCTGGCGTCTTTCACCGCCACCTTGGCCTTGCTCCTCGAGGCCCGCCCTCCGATGCCCCAGGCGGCGTCCATCTCCTTCACCGCCTCCAGGTCTGCCTCGAGCTCGCGCCTCTCCTTGATTTCTCGCGCCCTCGCCTTCGAGAACCGCCCGTCCATACCCGCGTCGCGCAGCATCCCGCGCAGGTGCTTGATCTTGGCCTTCGGGTCGCCGCCGCACCCCCGCAGCTCGACGCCCCAAACCTTGCGGATCCCGCACTTGACGAGCTGCGATTGCAGCTTCTTGACCTCTGCCTCGTCCGGGTCATCGGAGGCGGCGGCCCCGCTCTTGCGCGGCGCGCGGGGCTTGGCGGGCGCCGCGTCTTTGGACTTGGCGCCGCGCTTCGGTTTCGGGGGCTCGTCGAGGACGTCGGAGAGCTCACTAGACTCGGCGTCCTCGGCGTCGGGTTTTGGCTTGACAGTTGGCTTGTCTCCTTCATCCTTGCCAGACGGTGACTTTGCCGGTTGCTTCTTGGGCTTCACTGGTGTCGCTTTCTTGACTGGCGTCGCCTTCTTCGGCTGTGGCTTGGCCTTTGCTTTCGGCTTTGGCTTTGGCTTTGGCGATTCGTCCATCACGTCCGAGAGTTCGCTGTCTTCGTCTGGGGGCGCATCCGAGAGCGCACTAGATTCGTCTCCTGGCGCCTCTTCGTCCTCGTCGTCGGACACGGTCTTTCTCTTTTTGGCGGGCTTCTTCGGCGCCGGGCCAGCCTTGCGCTTCTTTGTGGGTCTGGGCTCTTCTTCGCTGTCGTCTTGACTCAAGTCGTCCGAGTCGTCGCCGTCTGATCCAAAGTCGTCCTCTGGGTCATCGCTCTCCGGCTCGCTGTCGAGAACCTTGTGTGGCTTGCGGGCACGTTTCGCCTTGGGTGGCGACCCATCCTCCTCGTCAGACGCAGCCGTCTTGCGCGTCTTGGAGCGCGCCACGGCCTTCTTCTTCTTGGGAGGTTCCTCGTCGTCGTCGTCCGCGGTGTTCTTGCGAGGCTTCGGCGCCGGGGTCGGGTCGGTCTTTGGCTTGGCGGGAGAGCTTTTCTGCTGCTGCGACGCAGTGTCGAGCGACTCCTGTTTGGTTCCGATCAGCACGCTATCGCCGATACAACATCGTATGCACAGCGGGGGGACGAACAGCTACTTCCTTGATGAGAGCTCTGCTGCGAGACTTCCACTCGGGCTCCGAGAAGAAGCCCTCCTCGAGACTGAGCTTCTCCTCGGTAAACTTGCGAATGTAATTGACGGTGAGGTTATCGCGATTGATGCCAGACACCTCGCGGACGGCGTCCCGGATGGCGGCCTCGATCTCTTGCTTGGACAACGCCATGGCGAGCAGGCGGGGCTAAAATACGGAGCCGGGTTGATAGTGTGACACGTCCCCTCACGATAACAGGGCAATTATAAAATACACCAAAGTCGGTACTGATTCGCAAAGAAGACGCATGGAGGACAGGTGCTGTTGCCGTCGCGTGAGAACGCGTCGCGATGATCACGATCTGCAATAGGGCAATAGGGATCCGGGGGAGAGAGCTTGGACGCTGGTGCCCCGCCGCATTAGGCTTGAATGGAGTCCTGCGTTCTGGTCCAAGCTCCCAAGCTCTTCCTCGTGTGCGCTCCTCGGTCAGCTGGACGAATGTCACTTGCTCGGTGAGAGCGCGCACACCGATCGCTCAACATTCGACCTGCTCTCCATGTTCATTCGGGCCTTTATCTCGGCGGCTTCACGAATACGGCTGCACAAGAAAAACACATCACCAGAAAAAGGCCCCGCTCCGTGTGTAGCTACCTATATATCGCAAGCTAGGTACAACAAATACGCAGGCATTGCACCCTGCGTCATGCCAGAGCCCTCGGGAGGACGCGGCTTGGGCAGCCGGGCGTGCGCGTTCGGGCCCACGCTGCAGGAGGCTTTCGTCCGGGTTAGAACAGGGAAAAGGGCGGCGGGCGGAGGGGTGTGGCCGGACGATTGGACCCAAGGCCATTGCAGCAGTCTGCCGTCTCGGGTTACTTGTATAATTCCCTCGTCTCTCAGCCGTGCGCTCCGTGCATTGAGTCTGTACTTGATTGCTGCACGACGACCGGATGATAAAGCCCGCTGCTGGGTTGGACGAGGTTTCTGTGACGAGGACTTGACACCTTTGGCTACGGAGAATGCTAGGAGGTCCGGTACTTGTCTTGTTGGCCTGGTTCAGAGCATTGGGTCTTACGAGATTCTTAGTTTGTTTTTGTTTGATTGACTGTCAAGAATATTCACGGCTGCACTCGAGAGACGGCACCCAGAAACAGCCTGGACGTACACAGTACACTGCAGGGTGTGCCATGCTGCAGGAGACCCTTGAGGTATATATGCGAGGCACGCTGCTTACTTGCAGCAGCTTTTTTTTGGAGGCCTGCCGGTATACTTCATCCTCCTCGATCAAATTTGCGGCAGATTGTGTCAGAATGGCGGGCGGCTAGTCGGGCCTTGAGCTGCTGATGCTGTTCCGGGTTGCAAATGAGATGTGATGTGTGGCCTGGCCGGAGAGATGGTCTTGGAAATGAGGACGTTGCTTTCGCCTCATATTGCTCCGTGCCTAGGTACATCAGGTAGATGTGACCAGCAGAGACTGGAAAGTTCCGTCTGGATAATCACCTCCCAACTGTTGGCCTAGGTGCGTTGGCGCCGTTAGACGGCAGGACAAACGATGGGCTGGCGGCCCAGTGTTACGGCTCGCCTGGGACCACCTCACCGCTGGTAAGCTCCCGAGATGCCTTACCGTACCTGACATTGTACATGTATTGCTCGGCGTGGTGACGTTTCTGATTGTCCGCCAGATCCAGGCCCTACAGCACCCATTTTAGGTATCCGCTAGGGAGATGGGGTTCGTTCAGCTTGCCGATCCGTCATGCCCTCCAAGCGTGGGCTTGGAGGGGGGCAAGAGGGCAAGGGGGGTCATTCATGGACATGAGGCTCATGTCGCTGGACATTTCATATGCCGTGAAATCAATGCCGTGATATCTTATACCGTGAATCAATGCTGTGAAATCAATGGACATCAGAGAAATAATGTCGAACTGCACATCCGTCTTCTCCGCGTTCCACTGTTTTCCAAAAAGTCAAACGGCTATCGTCCCTCCCGTCCCCTGTTGAGTCCCCTCCGCCAGGTCCTCTCCGGGCGCCTCAGGGCCTGTACCCAGCCTCGCCAGCTACACACCCCCTGCCACCATTCCACAGTGGCACCCCCCCCCCATGCCCCCCATGCCCCCCTTGGCCCTGCCCCTCCATCCATCTCGTCATAAGCTCCGGGCCAAGCTCCCGGTGTACCAAGTTCCCCGCCATCTACTTGAACGTCCTTTTTCTTGCCTTCACTGCCCGCCTTCAGCTTCTTCTGTTGCCGCCAGCCCTCTTCCTCTCTGCTCCAGCACCCCACCCGCCACTTGAGGCCCACGCCCTATAACCTCGAATTACCACCACTCTCTTGCCTCACGACCTGTCAATCAGACGACTCTTCCACGCCTCCGAACCAAGCATCATCCGACACAAACACGCACACACACACCATGCCTGCTCTCCTCGAGCAAGACGCCGCTCCGCCCGGTCGTCTCCTCCTGCTGTCGAACCGCTTGCCCATCACCATCAAGCGCGAGGAAGATGGCAACTATCAATTCTCCATGTCCTCCGGCGGTCTCGTCACTGGCCTCAGCGGTCTGTCCAAAACCACAAGCTTCCAGTGGTACGGCTGGCCTGGCCTCGAGGTTCCCGAGGCAGAAGTCGCTGGCATGAAGCAGCGCCTCAAGGACGAATACGGCGCCCACCCCGTCTTCGTCGACGACGACCTCGCCGACCGCCACTACAACGGCTTCTCCAACTCGATCCTCTGGCCCCTCTTCCACTACCACCCCGGCGAGATCACCTTTGACGAGAGCGCCTGGGCTGCGTACCAGGAGGTCAACCGCCTCTTCGCCAAGACGGTCATCAAGGACGTCCAGGACGGCGATCTGATCTGGGTCCACGACTATCACCTCATGCTGTTGCCCGAGATGCTGCGTGAGGAGGTGGGAAACTCCAAGAAGAACGTCAAGATTGGCTTCTTCCTGCACACACCCTTCCCCTCCTCTGAGATCTACCGTATCCTGCCTGTGCGCGAGGCCCTTCTCGCCGGCCTCCTCCACTGCGATCTCATCGGCTTCCACACCTACGACTATGCTCGTCACTTCCTGTCCAGCTGCTCCCGCATTCTCTCAACACCGACGACACCCAACGGAGTCGAGTTCAAGGGACGCTTCGTCACCGTCGGTGCCTTCCCCATCGGCATCGACCCCGAGAAGTTTGTCGAGGGCCTCCAGAAGCCCGTCGTCCAGAAGCGCATCGAGGCCCTGAAGCGCAAGTTTGAGGGCGTCAAGCTCATCGTCGGTGTCGACCGCCTCGATTACATCAAGGGCGTGCCCCAGAAGCTCCACGCCCTCGAGGTCTTCCTCACCGAGCACCCCGAGTGGATCGGCCGCATCGTCCTCGTCCAGGTGGCGATCCCGTCGCGCCAGGACGTCGAGGAGTACCAGAACCTCCGCGCCGTCGTCAACGAGCTCGTCGGCCGCATCAACGGCCGCTTCGGCACCATTGAGTTTATGCCGATCCACTTCCTTCACCAGTCCGTCTCCTTCGAGGAGCTGACGGCCCTGTACGCCGTCTCGGACGTCTGCCTCGTCTCCTCGACCCGCGACGGCATGAACCTCGTCTCGTACGAGTACATCGCCACGCAGCGCGAGCGCCACGGCGTCATGGTCCTCTCCGAGTTCACCGGCGCCGCCCAGTCCCTGTCCGGCTCCCTCATCGTCAACCCCTGGAACACCGAGGAGCTCGCCAACGCCCTCCACGACGCCGTCACCATGTCCCCCGAGCAGCGCGAGGCCAACTACAAGAAGCTCGAGCGCTACGTCTTCAAGTACACCTCGGCCTGGTGGGGCCAGTCCTTCGTCAACGAAATGACCCGCCTCTCCTCCGACGCGAGCCACCAGCCCAAGGCCATCGGTACCGTCGCCGGCAGCGTCGCCGCCGGCGCCCAGGCCGTCAAGGGCGCCGTCGAGGGCATCTTCAACAGCGAGGTCGCCAAGGCGGAGGCCGAAAAGGAGGCTGCGTAGCCGACGGCGGGACGAGGGGGAAAATGGGCAAGGCTGACGCTGGCAGGCCTTGCCAAAGATAGACATGACGAGCGCTGGACGGGCGCATCACGAAGCAGGGCGTTGCATGGTTTTCTTCTTTTTGTCAAGCTTTGTATATCCTCGTTTTATTTTCTATGTGATGCGAGGATTTTCACTCCATAGGGCAATCTTTTAACTCGTGTCTTCGTCTCTCGTTCAAATTGACTATCTACTGGTCTGTGATGCCTCCCCTGTCAGCCAAGGTCTTAAAAAAGCCCGCGTTAATCCCTTGGCTGAACCTCCATCAAAGCAAAACATGCCACACTTTGTAACTTGCAGATCTTCATCAATCACAAAAGACGCACAGAAAGCCAGTCCTGAAACTCGATTCTCATGTTCTCGTCACCAAACTACGTTCTGGGACCGCAAAGGTATCTCAGCCAGACAAAACACAAAGGGAAACAAAAAGGAGAAAATAAGTATCAGAAAAGAAGAGGCGAAGAAGCGAAATCCCACCCCCAAACCACAAAACAACACCAGTCCAAAAGCGCATCAACTAACCCAAAGTCAAGGGTCGAGCAGTCAAGGCAAGACCCAACCGTCACCAGAGTGAACTCCATCTTCCCACAACCTCGAGCAAATCATCCCAAATCATCCCCCACCCATTCAGTCCCTTAGTACGGTGAGTTGACAACCTCGTCTCGACCAAGCTTGTACCGCCCGCTCCTCGGCGTGCCGATACGACCCGAACTCTTCCGGCCGCCCGACACGCTGAGCCGTCCAAAATCGCCAGCGATGCTCTCGCGTGTAGGCCGCTTGAGCCCGCCCTTGCCAATCATGTTGACCTCGTTCGGCAGCGCGACAATGACGTTCTTGTCGGTGCCGAACTGGAAGTCGTCGGCCTTGACGTCTTCGGTGTACCGCTTGATGAGGTACGGCGCCTTGGCGCCGCGGAGCACCTTCTTAAGATTCCATTCAATGATGTACGGGCCCGTGGCCGTGATGATGCTCGTCTCCTCAACGCCCTCGCCGGCATTGAACCGCGCGGGCGTGAAGCGCACCGGCTTGCCCGTCTCGTGCGAGAATTGCGCAACGTGCTCGGGCGTGAGCGCGAGACGGCGCGGCTGCGGCTTATCGGCGGCGGCGAAGGGCTTCTCGAAGCCGAGTTTGCCCTCGTTCTTGCCCGTCTTTTGCATGGCATCGATGAGCAAGATGTACGTATTACATGTCGCGAGCACCCAGCGGCCGTCCGCGGAGACGTCGAGACCAATGATAGCCTCTCCAAGAGCCGGGATGTGTGTTTTGGCGTTGATTCCGAGTCGATCAAAGAGACGGACGTCGCCCTTGTTGGAGGCCACGGCAATGTGTCCCTTCTCGGTGGTCGCCATGGCGGAAAATTGGTTCTTAGAGGCATACTGCTTCAGCTGCGATTCCACAAGCTTGTCACCCGATAGACGAGGATCGATGCGGTAGAGTGCATTGTGAGAGACACCGAGGAAAGTGGGTTCGTGCGTCATTTGGGCGTACTTGTTCTCGGGCGCGAACGTGACAACAGGAATATCTTCGTGAACGTTCCATTCGTCAACAACCTTGCCGTACTCGAGATCCATGCGGTACAGCTTATTGGGGTCTGTTTGATGTTGGAGAATCATGTTGCGATCCTCGTTGTGCAACATGACTTTCTTGGGGCTGAACAGAACACCCTTGGGCGTCTCAACTTTGGAGATGTTGGTCGAGAACTCGAGCTTGTCGTTGTTTGTGTGCTTGAACACGCCAATCTTCGAACCGCGCACAACGAACGAACGGTCATGCTTGTAGCCAACAGCAAGCTGCGAGTTGACGTTGCCATCCTCGTCTTTGGTGACAACGTCCTCATCCTCTTCATCGCTGTCGTAGTGTTCGCTTTGCTGACCAGGGTCGGCATCCTCATACTCAGGCTCTTCGACCTCCTCCTCTTCCTCTTCCTCCTCTTCGGGTGTGTCTTCCATCTGGAGGTCGTTGAATGCGTCGGTGACATATTCCTGTTCACGCTCCTTAATCTTCTCCCATTTCGTCTCGTTCAGTTGCTCCCAGAGACAGCGAAGCAGACCTTCCTGGAAACGCTCTAGGGTAGATTGATCCTTGAAGCGAAGGAGCCACGAGTACGCCGAGCCGTCGGGAGTAAATTGATTAAAGATGAAGGAAAGGAATTCAAAGTTGAACACCGGATTGATGTCAGCAACAATGGGAATTCCGAGCCAATCACGATCCTTGCCCTCAACCTGCAACCAATACTGCCACTTGCCGACTTCCGTGACAATTGCGACAACGGAGGCGTCCTGCTGTATGAACGATCCCGAGACAAAATCGTAAAAGTGAAGCTCTGCATTTTCTGCCGCATACGTCGTAAGCGCCTCTGGCGCCTCGGCAGACACGGCTGGAGGGCCAGGTTCCTTCTTTGCCTTCTCAGCAGCCGGAGGTGGGGTCTGTTCACGCTGGGCGGACGTGTTGGCCGAGTTGCGGCTGGTGCGGAACATGCTGTCGGAAGATTCAATCGAGCGGGTTAAAACGGGGCTATGCAGAGGGCTCGCAGGCGGGATAGCGGGCTCGTCGTAGAACTCGAACTGACGGAAGTCGTCGTTGGAGGCGGTTGTGTGTGGCTTCCGGTATTTGCGTTCGTACTGGCACTCCTTGGCGATGCGCTCGAAGGATTCGGCTTGCGCAGTAGAAACGCTGTTGTCGCAAACAAACTCGAAGACGTCACCCGTATCACCGCTGAGGTCCCGCCAAGCGATAACCTTCTCGGACCCTTCACGAATCTCGACGCGGAAGTGGAGGGCTTCGTCGAGCAGAAATGTCTTCTCGTCTCGTTCGGCAGACAGCGCGTCAATCTCGGCGTCCTCTCCTTCTTCTTCAGCAAGTAGTTCAGCCTCGCCTTCCTCGTAGACTCTCTGGATCACTAGTTGGTATTGGAAGTCTTGGCCGGTACGTCGAATTTGTGCCGTCGCGTCTTTAAAGATGAGTTCTGAGTAGCCCTTGGGTGACAGAGGTCGGACGAGGTACAGCTGGCCTTGCGGCAGTTCGATCAACGATTCTTGGCTTGTAGATCCGAAGATGAGTTTGCCAACTGAATGCGCACAGAGTTAGCGATGATAGACTTCGTGACTGGGATAGAAAGAAAGTCTGGAGAAATGGGCTGACGGACGAAATGGGATGTCGAGGGGGAAAGCGAAATCGCGACTGCTACAGCAACCACGGGTTGGCGCCAACGAGAGGGGAAGGTTGCGAACAGGGTGCTGTTATTTGATGCGGGGCAACGTACCGTTTCTGAGGACAAACATGATGAAGGGTGGTGAGGCTGTGATGTGGAATTTGGGAGAAGCAGAATTTGTAGGTCAAACTCGCATGCCCAGATCAGAGATCTCCTGTCTCTTTCTTGTCGATGTTGGCAAGGAACAAAGAGCAAGCACCTTCCAACAGCAGGCCGCGACGTGGTCGACTTGTGGCGGGAGAGAGGTATCACTGATCTGCGGCAGGAACCGTGTGGGAGAAGCCTGCTGCGTCATAATAAACACTGTCGGTTTTTTTGGTTGGAGGGGTAAACCTTGTGGCGGTGCGTGACCAGATTTCGCCACATTCCAGCTGCCTAGCGTGCTACGATCACGTGCATCACATGCCTACCCATCCTGGTGCCTGTGTCTGTGTAAGACAGTTATGTCATGGCGGACAGCTTCAAGCTTGCATGAAGTCCTGCTGCCTTGCTTTGGAGCGAAGTGGGAGACACACGTTCTGCAACATTTCAAAGTGGAACTCCGCTTTTAAGCATCAACTGTTGTGATTTCTAGCTCCCGCTTCCATTTAATATAGTCAAGTGAGGCAGATGATGTAAAATTGTAAGACTAAACGCCACGGATTATAAATATTAAAAGGTAACAAGCATCGCGATCTAGGAATCAGAGCTCTTGCTGGACCACCTCGTCAGCCACTCCGAGCACTTCCTGCACAGTATCCTCAGCCTGGTTCTCAACAGCAGGAGCCTCAAGCGCATTCTTCTCGGCATCCGCCACGAGCTCATCTGCAATGAGCCTGGCAACGTTCTTGCCCATTAGGGCGCTGGTCTCCATGGTAGAGATGAAGCTCTCAATACCTGAAGTATAGTACAGCCCGTTGCCGAGCGCGGGCTCCTGGAACGTAATGCGAGGGTATTCCATAGGGTACGAGTGAAACGCATGGGGGTAGTACCACGAAATAGGATCGACAGTGACTGTCTCACCCTCAACGGCCTCCTTCTGCTCTGAAATAAAAGTATCAGGCACCTTGACACCAAGAAGGGCGGACAAGAACTCTGGGGTCAGCTCTGCGGGCGAAAAGATTTTGTATGCAAACTCTTCCTTCAGTGTCTTCGGGTTGACGATGGTCCTCAGAGTGCTGACAGAATAGAAGCCAGCCTTGCCAGCACCAGCGGATCCAGGTTTGGGGAGTTCCTCGCTTCCAAGCGTGGTAAGAACCGTACCAGGCGCCTTCGAGTCAGCCGGTAAGCCAAAGTAAGTAGGTGACAGCAGGAAAGGCGAGCAAAAGAGAGTAACATGCAGTCGCGTGTAAGGAATGCTGTCGATGGTCTTCAGGACATCTCTCTCGGCGTCAATGTCAGCAAACTGCCAAGGCGTTGCAATCACCACGTTGTCGAAGGCTGTTTGGTGCTGCTTTGCCGTCTCCGCACTAGATCCCGTGGCTTTAGTTGAGATAAGGTACTTTGCTGGCGCAGCCTGGTCCGTCTGGTTCTTGAGGGTGATCGATGCGACCGACGTCTGCTGGTAGACCGTGGCGTTGCTGTGCTCCAGCATGCTGCTGAAGATCTGCCAGTTGCCGCCGACCACCTGTGAGGCGCCCTCTGGAGCCATTGAAACCTTGGGAATAGTCAGTACGGCGGCGCAATGACTATGACTGTGCATTTTACCATAGTCTCAAGGCCGTGAATGTAGGGGAGGTTGGACGCGTAGTTCACGCGAGTTGCAGCCTGCATGATTTCGCGAGCGAACTGTTCGGAAATCTACATCAAGATGAGTAACCAAGCCTTAAGTTCGAATTCGGGGATACCGACGTCATTTTTTGCAAGGAACTGGGTTCCAGTGATGCCGGTGATCTTGAGAAGACCCAAGTCTTGTGCCACCTGGGTGAGAGACTGAAAAGGGAAGTGAGGTGCTTCGTAGATCTGGAGAAACGCAGCAACGGTAGACTTGACGAGATTCTGCGCTTTGTAAGGGGCAGTTCCATACTTCCAGAAAAGCTTGGCCAAGTTCCACCAGCCCCAAGAGCGATCATCCTGGGTGAAGACGAACTTTTCGCCGTCCCAGATGCCCAACGTCTCGCCACTACCGGACTCGGGGTCCTTTAGTGCAAGGTTGAAGTCGCGGGTCGCATTAATCAGAATGTAATTAGCGTCAACGAAGATTGAAGCTCCGAGCTCGATGGGCTCGCTGGGGCTATCATAGGCGTTGACGGTTAGCGTTCGGCCGCCGATTCGATCCGTTCGCTCGAACACGGTTATGTTCACGAGAGACCCGTCTTCTTCGGCAAATTTGCTGAGATAGTAAGCCGCCGCAGATCCACTGGCACCAGCACCTAAGACTCGTGTCAGCTACGGCAAGGTCGCGCGCTGGCTAGTAGGCTTCATCTTCATAGGATCCTTGGAAGACAGGAACAAAACGTGACATAGAGGCCTTGTGACACAAACGCAGCAACAAGTCTTGGCTGGTATGAGTTATGAGATGAGTGAAGGACATCACGAACCAATGATAGCAACCTGCTTGACGCCCCCATCTTCAACAACGTCAGCTGCGGGGGCAGTTAAACTGAAGGCCGAAAGGACCGTAGAGAGCTTCCAGAACATGGTGTCGTATGGCTACGAGGAACAATTAGATAGATTCAGATACTAAGGAGTGTCAAGAGTTGGCTGTTGATGGCTGCTTATAACACAGTCCTTCGACACGAAGCTGGCTGATGAAAGATGTCAGCAGAGCTGTCTGTGATGAAGCTGGTTTAAAGGGGCCACGACGACTGGGAGGTACAGGGAGAGCTATTGTGGGGTCAATGGACCCTGCATGTCGCGTTACGGCACGAGGTCACGTGCGGTACTCACCGAGCACCCATCGTTCACCGAGTCACGGTCGAATCTGTTGGAGCCTTCTGTTACCCACTGACCGCCCTCAACCGCAAGGCAGAAAAAAGTTCCCGCATTTTGGAGCTTCCACACATGGGTCAACCACGCCGGAAGTGCCACCAGCCCAACGTCGACAATCTGTACGAGCTTATTGCGACTACACCAACCTCGACATCGCATTCCACAACTACCCAACATGTCTGCCGCACAACTTTTGAACCCCAAGGCCGAGTCCAGAGTCCGTCATATCCACCCCTTTCGCCTCTGTGTGAATTGCTTTGCTAATCCGTCGTAGCGGCGGGGTGAAGCTCTAAAGGTCAACATCAGCGCAGGAGAGGGCCTCCAGGATGTACTGAAGTCCAACCTCGGCCCCCTCGGCACCATCAAGATGTTCGTATTGCCGACTTCAACGTGGTAGTGTTTTGCTAATCAGTACTACACAGGCTCGTCGACGGCTCCGGACAAGTATATCTCGACCTACGCCCCCGCCGCCCCTGAGAATCCGCTAATCCCTTGGCCCCCTAGATCAAGCTCACAAAGGATGGCAACGTCCTGCTCCGCGAGATGCAAATACAGAACCCGACTGCCGTCATGATCGCTCGCGCCGCCACCGCGCAAGACGATATTTGCGGTGATGGCACTACATCAGTGGTGCTGCTCGTTGGGGAGCTCCTCAAGCAGGCCGACCGATACATATCCGAGGGCTTGCACCCGCGCGTCATCACTGATGGCTTCGAGATCGCCAAGAATGAGGCCCTCAAGTTCCTCGAAGACTTTAAGCTTCCCAAGGAGGTTGACCGTGAGCTGTGCCTCAACGTCGCCCGCACCTCGCTGGCTACCAAACTCAATCCCACTCTGGCCACCAGGCTGACACCCGCCATTGTCGATGCGGTGCTTTCCATCTACCAGGCTCCCGCTAAGCCTGATCTGCACATGGTTGAGATCATGAAGATGCAGCACAGGTCAGGATCTGATACCCAGCTCATCAAGGGCCTCGCCCTCGACCACGGCGCCAGGCACCCCGACATGCCCAAGCGTCTCGAGAATGCCTTCATTTTGACTATGAATGTCAGCTTGGAGTACGAGAAGTCGGAGATCAACTCAGGGTTCTACTACTCTAGCGCGGACCAGAGGGACAAGCTTGTCGAGAGCGAGCGCCGGTTTGTGGACTCGAAGCTCAAGAAGATTGTGGAGCTAAAGAAGGAGGTTTGCGGCAACGACCCAAAGAAGAGCTTCGTTATTGTCAACCAGAAGGGTATTGATCCCCTGTCTCTTGACGTGCTGGCGAAGAACGGCATTCTAGCCCTGCGCCGCGCCAAGAGGAGGAACATGGAGAGGCTCCAGCTTGTTTGCGGCGGTATTGCTCAGAACAGCGTGGATGACCTTACCCCCGACGTCCTCGGCTGGGCTGGTCTCGTTTATGAGCAGCAGCTTGGCGAGGAGAAGTACACCTTCATCGAGGAGGTGAAGGACCCCAAGTCCGTCACGCTCCTAATCAAGGGACCCAACGCACACACCATCACTCAGATTACGGATGCCGTCCGCGACGGTCTGCGTAGCGTTTATAACATGATTGTCGACAAGAGCGTGGTTCCCGGCGGTGGCGCTTTCCAGGTTGCGTGCGCCGAGCACCTCAAGAGTCATGACTTCCTCAAGACGGTGAAGGGCAAGAGCAAGTTTGGTGTCGAAGCGTTCGCGGACGCCCTCCTCATCATTCCCAAGACCCTGGCTGCCAACGCCGGCCATGACGTGCAGGATGCTCGTAAGTCAATTGTTATGTACGGAAGGAGATGAAATAACTAACTTGCCATTCTAGTTGCGGATATGCGTGACCAGTGCATTAACGGCGAGGTCGTTGGTCTGGATCTGTCGACTGGTAAGTCGATGGACCCCGAGCTTGAGGGTATCTTCGATTCCTTCCGTGTGCTTCGCAACTGCGTTGCATCAAGCTCCAGCATCGCCTCGAACCTTCTGCTTTGCGACGAGCTCCTCAAGGCTAGGCAGATGGGCAGGCAAGGTGGCCCTGGCCCTGGCATGGATGGCCCTGAGCAGTAAATTAGATGATGGGTACGAGTTTCACAGGTCTGGCATGATAGATGAAAAGGCGCTGTACTTTAGACGAGTCGACCCTGGAATGATATCCTTCATGTGCTTCACGAACTTTAAATTGAACATAGGACAAGTCGAAGCGATGTACTTGAGGTTGAAGAGCGAACAAGTGTGTCCGCGGCACTGACGAGGGCACCAATCGCCTAGTTCATCCACACATTACGGTGGTATGCTGCCCATGATGTCAATCCAGGAGCACCCAGAAAAGAGGCTACGAGCAAGCCAACTGCCGAGTAGCATCATATTCTGCTCGTCATTGAAAACATAGGGAACAATAATTGTCATGAAAGTCACGTAGGTACCTTAATGCAAAGGACAGGAGAGCTTGTCAAAGGTGCTTCTGGTTGCACTAGAACGCCGTAGGATTGATAAGATAAGCCCCGCGCCAAAGACAACTTCAGGTCCCTCAGAAGCAAAAATTTAGAGCCCCGCGGTGCGACAATCCCAGCAGCCAACTAACTGGGGAAGACTATAGAAGCATAATGCCTTCATACGACAGTGATTCCGACGTCGATGACGCCAAGTCATTCACAGAAACCAGTGTTCTTCTCGGCTACGCATCCAAAGACGCAGGCGAAGACTCTATCAGTCGCTTGGGGGGCTCACCAGTAAGTTTAGCTTTACCCCTCCATCTCAATGCGCCCAACCAAACAAACATTCTAACCATGTGACGCAGGAATGGCTCAACCCGAATGCAGCGCCTTCTGCCAGCCTTGCAAGATGTAAGGTGTGCAACGAGATGATGGTTCTTCTTCTCCAACTGAACGGCGAGCTCCCCGAGAAGTTCCCTGGCCACGACCGTCGCCTCTACGTTTTCTCCTGCCGGAAGCAGGCCTGCCGTCGCAAGCAAGGCAGTATTCGCGCTATCCGAGGTACAAAAATATCAAAAGAGGCTGCTGCCTCTGCCGCACTTGCGAAAGAAGCGAAAGAAGCCGAGGACGCTAGGAAGAAGGCCGAGGCCAGCAAACCAAAGAATGACGACCCTGGGTTGGGAGAAGCCCTCTTCGGTGCCAAGCCAGGCGCATCGGGCGCTAACCCCTTCGCTTCATCCGCGAATCCCTTTAGCAGCAACAGCGCGAGCGCGAGCGCCAGTGCCAACCCTTTCAGCTCCGGAGCATCGAACCCCTTTGCCTCTACGCCAGCGGCGCCGAAGCCCGATGCGCCCAAGGCCGAACCTCCCAAGGCTGAGGAGGTGACGCCCAAGGAACTCTCCAAAACCTTTGCCGAAACCCTGTCCCTCAACAACACACAAAAGCCTGTCGGGCCTCCCCCTGCCCCTGAACCCTGGCCACAGGCTGCCAGGCTGCCGAAACCTTACCCTGTTTCTTATCTTGCTGAAGCAGACTATGAGATTCTGGAGCCCGAGGCACCGGCTGTGCCGCAGAATGTGAGCATGGATGTTGACGATGCCACTGCTGATTCAGGCCCTGGATCAGGTATGGATAAGGAGGTCTTTGAGTCTTCTATGGACGCCATTTTCCAAAAGTTCGCGGATCGCCTGGCGCAGAACCCGGACCAGTCGATCAGATATGAATTTGGGGGTCAGCCACTCATCTACTCCAAGAAGGATGCTGTTGGTAAAGTCCTCACCGCAGCTGCAGCCGTGGGTCGAAGCGGCATGCCCGGATGCGGTAACTGCGGTGCCGGGAGGGTGTTTGAGGTGCAGTTGACGCCACAGGCCATCACTGAGCTCGAATCAGAAGAGCTTGGACTGGAAGGTATGGACTGGGGCACGATCATCGTTGGCGTGTGCGAGGCAGACTGCCAGGAGAGGACCGTTGGGGAGGGCGAGGCCGGATACCTGGAGGAATGGTGTGGTGTGCAATGGGAGGAACTTCAGCAGTAAGTTGGGGTTGGCGTGATGCTACTGTTGACATGAGCCCCATCTAAGATCTTTCACGGCCTGCATTGAAGGGCGTTTTCGAAGGGCGTTTTTGAAGGGATTCAAAAGCATACACAGAGCAAATGACAACGATGAGCAAGCCACATAGTGACGTCCAAGAGTGCGTGAAATTCATGACCATTTGAGGCCCAAGCCTCCAGCTTTTCGCATCCCTCATGTGCGGGCCTCCATGACATGACCCCTAATTCCAAAGCAGGTAAAAACGCCGATGATTGCCGCCATGCTTCCCTGCCCAAACTCCCCCGACGGAGCTCTTACGCGGTTTCCTCCCATGTCCTCCGAATAACCCTGGAGAACATATCGATACCAACATCCTCCCTGATCTCGGCCTTCTTGGCCTCGTTCTCGGGGTTGCTGGGGATGATGACTTCGCCGTTCTCGACCTTCCAGCCGCACACCTCGGTGACGTACTTCGAGGCCGCGTCACCTTCAAGGCCGAGCCATGCCTCCAGCTGAGAAAGGCTGACCTGGCGGTAAGCCTGGGACAGGAGGACGGCGACGTTCTGTCGGATGATGTCTTCGAAGCCAGCGATGTCGGCGATCAGGTCGGCGACAAGGTCGTCGCCGTCGACGGCATTCCAGAAGCGCGCGTATTCGGCACCCTCGAGCCAGTTGTTCAGCGATCGCAGCTTGCCAATGGCCTCAGCGAGCTCGCCTTGGGCGGCGGCGGTGGGGTGGATGATGTGCATGGCGAGGCTGAACTGAGAAGAGGGGAACTGGGTCATGGCCTTGACCAGGATGTTGGTGACGACCTCATCCTTGGTGCGGTCGGGGTTGAGCTGGTACCTAAGCGTCGCAAAAGCGGGGATTAGCGATGCGATCTCGCGACACGTAGGCTGATGAGTGGATTGTGCAGGACGATGTGCTCAGTAACACTTATGTTCACTTCAAGCAGCAAAGCTGTTTTCAGGTAATAGGAAACGTTGACTAGTCATCATGGCATTCGATAGAGGAGGCTGGAAGGCTGTGCGCATCGCGAAAAGGGGGCACTCACAGCTTCAGGAGCGTTCTGTTGGCATTGCAATCGGTGTACTTTTGTTCGCACTGCTCGGTGAGGTAGGCCTCAAGAGTGCCTACAGCCTCGGGGTTGTATCGCTCAAGGCCATTGATAATGTTGACAATATAGTCGGGCCTCTCGGACGGATCTTCGCCGTTCATCTTGAGAGAGTGTCGGCGGCTGTCGTCGACGTCGTGATGTGGTTTGGAGGGGGCTCGATGGTGGGGCAGGCGTGGAAAGATTTCCAGCGTCGACGTTGGGTTGTGTGCGCTGCACACACAAGTGGATTAGGGCCGGAACACGGCAAAAGATAAACCCGGATCAGGGGTCTGTCTGGTCGTGAACCCACACGTCAGCCTAGCGCACGTGCCTTCGTGTGGAGGTCGCGACACTGCGTCATCGACTGACACGCTCCAGACCAGTGGCTATCATTTGTAGTGCAGTATTTTGTCTCTTGACTCTGAGGTCATTGGCGTTCTCAATCATCCAACTGCTTTAGACCTTACAGTCGCCATAGGCTTGTGTCTCATACGTGTAATCGTTCGCCTCATATTACGCGCTTACCATGCGAACACCACGCGCATCACGAAATCCACCGCCTCCGTGAGCAACATGCCGAGTCCAACGAAGAAGCGGAAGCTCAACAAGGATGCAAGTGGCCCAACATCGCGTGGTCTTGAGTATTTCTTCTCGAAACAGAAGCAAGGCGATGCATCAGCTGCTTCTACACAGCCACAACCGAAGCAGGATGTTGGCGAGGCTCCCAGAAGTGAACAGGAATTCACCGATGAGGAGCTAGCCCGGAAGCTCCAAGCTGAATGGGATAGCGAGGTTCAAAATACCGAAAGTCTCTCGACAGAGTCTCAGCTAGTCCCGCGTTGTAGCGCAAGCCCAGCTCTCGATCCCAGTTCTACCGGTTCAGCTCAAGTCGCGATATCAGCCGCCACACCTGTGGAAGAACCCAAACTTGCAAGCACAGCACCGAAGACTCTGTCACTCTCATCTGTAGCCGTAGCTGGAGACTCACTTTCTTCAACCATACCCCTGGATCAGAGCCCTCTGGTTTTCGACCCTTCGGAGTATTCATCGCACCTAAAAGATCACTGGGCTTCCGAAGGTGGCGATGCCTCATATGCCCTGCTCACGAGGTGTTTCATACTGGTCAACAGCACGCAATCAAGGATCAAGATAGTGGACACTCTCGTGAACTGCATCAGACTTATCATACAGACAGATCCTGAAAGTCTCCTCCCCGCTGTTTGGCTAGCGACGAACGCCATTTCGCCGCCCTATATTTCCTTGGAACTGGGTCTCGGTGGGTCAGCCATATCCAAAGCTCTGAAGCAAGTTTGTGGGCTCAATGGACCGTCGCTGAAGAATCTCTACGACAAGTACGGCGATGCGGGAGATGTGGCTTTTGAAGCCAAGAAGAAACAGAGCTTCACGCTTCGGAAGCCGAAGCCGCTGACCATCAAGGCTGTCTACCAATCTCTGGTCAAGATTGCGAACACCCAAGGTCAGGGCAGTGGTGAAGTGAAACAGAGAATTGTCGATCGTTTGCTTCAAGATGCAAGAGGTGGCGAAGAAAGCAGGTATATTGTTCGTACACTTTGCCAACATGTGAGTCTGTGTCTTGTTCGTTCTCGAAATCATCTGGCTAATGTGTCAGCTTCGCATCGGCGCTGTTAAAACCACGATGCTAATAGCGCTTGCCCGGGCGTTTTCTCTGACTTCCCCGCCTGGTGCAGATTTCGCTGTCCGCGACAGGGGCAGCCTCGCCAAGTTAAAAAAGGAGGAGCTTGCCGAGGTTTGGGCAAAAGCGGAGGAGATTGTAAAAGCCTGCTTCGCGAAAAGACCAAACTACAACGACCTCGTACCCATTCTTCTCGAGATTGGTGTTTGTGATGAGCTGCTCATCCGCTGTGGGCTCACCCTGCACATTCCCCTACGACCCATGCTCGGTAGCATAACGCGAGATCTGACGGAGATGCTTACCAAGCTCCAAGGCCGGGATTTCGCCTGCGAGTATAAGTATGACGGCCAGCGTGCCCAGATTCACTGCGACGCCAAAGGAAAAGTAAGCATCTTCTCGAGGCATCTTGAGCTGATGACGGACAAGTACCCCGACCTGGTTGCCCTCATGCCGCAGATTCGGGGTGAAGGTGTTGACAGCTTTGTGATGGAGGGAGAGGTCGTGGCAATCGACCGACAGACGGGAGATATGAAGAACTTTCAAGCTCTGACCAACCGCGCGAGAAAAGATGTCGCAATCGGGAGTATTCAAGTCGATGTCTGTATGTACTCCTTCGACCTGATGTACCTGAATGGGGAGCCACTACTCGACAGGCCTTTCCGCGAAAGGAGAGAGCTCCTTCGGTCGATGTTCATCGAAGTCCCCCACCAGTTTACATGGGTCAAGAGCCTAGACGCTACTTCGCAGGATTCCGACGCAGTGCTCGACTTCTTCAAATCTGCTACCGACATCAAATGCGAGGGTATCATGGTTAAGATCCTGGACAATTTGACCGAAGTACCTTGCCAAGGGGGCGAAGTTGACGCTCCTGTGGATGAGATGGAGGAACCGCAGACACCTTCGAAACGTAAGGCTCCGGGGAAGATTGCTGAGAATGACACGAAAAAGAAAACGCGACGTAAACCACTGCTGGCAACCTATGAGCCCGACAAGCGACTCGACTCATGGCTTAAGGTCAAGAAAGATTACAACGCAAGTTTCGACACTATTGACATGATTCCTGTGGCTGGTTGGCATGGCCAAGGGCGCAAGGCCAAATGGTGGTCGCCGATTTTGCTTGCTGTCCGCAACGAAGACAGTGGCTCATTCGAGGTTGTGTGCAAATGCATATCAGGCTTTACCGATACCTTTTACAAAGCTAATCGGGAGTTTTATGACGACGGTAGCGGAGGAAGCGGCGTGATACAAAACATTCGTTCCTCGAAGCCTGCATTTATTGAGTACTCCGGACCGGAACCGGACGTCTGGTTTGAGCCGCAGGAGGTTTGGGAGATGGCGTTCGCGGATGTCACGCTCAGCCCGACATACACAGCAGCAATAGGCTTGGTGAGCGAAGAGCGGGGCTTGAGCTTGCGATTTCCGAGGTTCTTGAAGAAACGGGATGACAAAGGCTTGGATGAGGCGAGTACAAATGAGTTTCTGGCCTCGCTCTTCAGGAAACAAGAATCGAAGGCGATACCTGCGGCGGTAGATGCGGCAGAGGATGAATGATTTTCAGCTTTACCGCCACTGATGAGACAATGCGAAGCTTTGAGACCAAAAGCAGCATATAGGGGAGTCGAGCGCTCATAGCTGGCTCGAAACAACGCCATCTGCCAATATCATTCGAAACCACTGTGACATCCTGCTCAGAATAAACCTGAATCATTTCACAGCATTCATCCGCTGAGCCACCAGGCTGAAGACGGCAACTGATCCCATGAAAAGTACTGCGTTGTAGAACTGTGCCGAACGTCAGTTATCATTCTTTTGCCGGTTTGTTGTACATACCGCTTTTCTGGAGACCGCGCGCTCCTCATCATCTGTCCGAGACTCAATAAAAAGTCGCCGCAGGTTTGGAAAGTTCGCCTACCAAGTCAGAACTCAGAGGAACGTCCTGGTTTGTTTAAGGAGGAGGAGACTCACCATTGCATTCGCGGGGCTAGCGAAGAGGTGGCGGGTCGAAGTTGGCAGTCGCCTGATCAACTTAGATACTGGATTTTTGAAATCGCTTCAATGACTGATGCATCTCGCCATCCACTTGTATACTGATTGATAGGGAAGGGAGCGTGAGCAAACTGGAATTCCTTGAGGTCGGCTTACCCTCTTGGTTGACTTGCTTCGCTCGGTATAAGCATGCGGCCGGCCCCTTGGTGGAGCTGTCAGAGATATGCACATGTCCGGTAGTCCTATCATTAGGCAAGGCCCCATGAAAGGCCCAAGTGTCCAGGAGGCACCCACGAGCTCGCCCACCCCCAACTCGTCTATTTGGCGACTCCGACGACCTGCATCTGTTGCATCGAACACTGCGGACACGATAACCAGCCCGGCAGCGCGAATCTCTGGGCGACAATTTTTCCAGCTCCAAGAAGGACTGGCAGCCTCAACCGCCCGTTGCCTGACCCGCAGCTACACGACCGAAACCGAGCACTCGTGCCCCTCCACCTCCTGATTAGCTTCCACGATGGCGGTCAACCGCATTCGGGGGGCTTTCGCTCCGCCCAAGAAGGGAGAGACGTTTGAGTTGCGTGCCGGCTTGGTGTCTCAATATGCTTATGAGCGCAAGGAGTCCATTCAAAAGACAATCATGGCTATGACGCTGGGCAAGGATGTGTCTGCGCTCTTTCCTGATGTGCTCAAGAACATCGCGACTGGTGATCTGGACCAGAAGAAGCTCGTCTACCTTTACCTAATGTGAGCTGCATATTCTTTTGAAGCAGCGCTTCTATCATGGACCCGGGCGTCGTTTTGGATGCTAACAATCATAGGAACTACGCAAAGTCGCATCCCGACCTCTGCATTCTCGCCGTCAACACATTCGTCCAAGATACAGAAGACCCCAACCCATTGGTTCGCGCTCTCGCCATTCGAACCATGGGCTGCATCCGCGTCGACAAGATGGTTGATTATATGGAAGAACCCCTGAGAAAAACGCTTCGAGACGAATCCCCCTATGTGCGCAAGACGGCTGCTATTTGTGTTGCAAAGCTCTTCGACCTGAACCCGGCGATGTGCATTGAGAATGGCTTCCTAGAATCCCTACAGGAGCTGATCAGCGACTCCAACCCGATGGTCGTCGCAAACTCTGTTCAAGCTCTGGCAGAGATTAGCGAGACGGCGCCGGAGACACGAGCTCTCGTCATCACCCCTGCGATATTGAAGAAGCTGCTGCTTGCGCTTAATGAGTGTACGGAGTGGGGACGTATCACCATTCTGTCGACACTGGCCGACTACCCTACCCAGGATGTCAAGGAGTCGGAGCACATCTGTGAGAGGGTCACGCCACAGTTCCAGCACGTCAACCCGAGCGTGGTGCTGGCAGCCGTGAAGGTTGTCTTCATCCACATGAGGTCGATCAACCCCGAGACCGTCCGATCCTATCTGAAGAAGATGGCTCCACCTCTGGTGACGCTGGTAGCCTCGGCCCCCGAGGTGCAGTACGTCGCGCTGCGCAACATCGATCTTTTGCTGCAGGCCAAGCCAGACATTCTCAGCAAGGAGTTGCGAGTCTTCTTTTGCAAATACAACGACCCGCCATACGTCAAGCTACAGAAGCTCGAGATTATGGTGAGGATAGCAAACGACAAGAACTTTGACCAACTGCTGGCCGAGCTGAAGGAGTATGCTTTGGAAGTCGATATGGATTTCGTCAAGAGGGCCGTCAAGGCGATCGGACAGGTGGCCATCAAGATCGAATCTGCCAGCGAAAAGTGTGTCAATGCGCTTTTGGATCTGATTGCCACCAAGGTCAACTATGTTGTGCAGGAGGTCGTCGTCGTGATCAAGGACATTCTGCGCAAGTATCCGGGCTACGAAGGCGTCATCCCGACTCTTTGTCAGTACATTGACGAGCTAGACGAGCCAACAGCGCGTGGCTCGTTGATCTGGATCGTAGGAGAGTACGCCGAGAAGATCAGTAACGCTGATGAGATTCTCGCCGGGTTCGTGGAAGTGTTCATGGAGGAATTCACTCAGGTTAGTGGCTAGTGCCATTGAAGACGGGACCATAACTAACGTCCTTCAGACTCAACTGCAAATTCTCACTGCGGTGGTGAAGCTCTTTCTCAAGAAGCCTGGGAGCAACCAGGCGTTGGTACAGAAGGTGCTGCAATCAGCCACAACTGACAATGACAACCCTGATATTCGCGACAGGGCGTACGTTTACTGGCGACTTCTATCAGGCGATCTCGATGTTGCCAAGAGCATTGTTCTGTCTCACAAGCCGGCGATTGCCACCACCATGTCCAGTCTACCTCCTGCGCTGCTCGAACAGCTTCTTTCGGAGCTCTCGACCTTGGCCTCTGTCTACCACAAGCCGCCCGAGTCGTTCGTTGGCAAGGGGCGTTTCGGTGCGGACGAACTCCAGCGTGCGGCCATCCGCGAACTGCGACAGGATGCGGCGGAGAACCCGATCGCAGCATCGGTGGCAGCTGCGGCAGCGGCAGCCAACGGCACAGCCCCGCCACAAAACAACGTTGAGAATCTCCTGGATATTGATTTTGACGGCGCGGCGCCTGCGTCGGCAGAGCAGCAGAGCAACGTCAACACACCCGACAGAATGGCCAGCCCCGCAGGCGGTGCTCCATCTGGCAACATGGCCGACATGATGGGTCTTTTTGACGCTCCGCCGCCTCAACAGCAGCAGAACGTCGGTGGCAACGCGGGGGGCAGCGGTATGAACCATATGATGAACGGATTCGCGGATCTGAATTTCGGAGGCGCGTCATCGTCATCCCAGCCTCCGCCTGCGGCGATGCAATTGCACCCGCAACAACAGAGTGGCGGTGGGGAGAAGAAGACGAACGAGGATCTCCTGGGCTTGTTTTAGACCGCTGGGGAGGCTGCCATGCGCGGAAAAGGGGAGCGCTTTATGCTCTATGGAGGCGTCTCGGCATTTTGTACGTGCAGCGCTGGATGATCAAATATATAGTCGGTTTGAAGCACGACTACCTCCTTCCAAGAGACAGATTTCAACGTCTGTCTGGTGACAAAATAAGGTAAAGTTTGCTCAAATTTCAAGGATGTTGTACCACTCTATCCTGGTGAATCATGACCCCCACCCGCCTTCTCTCGCGCTGCCCTGCGTTTCCGGAACGCCATGTCGTCCTTGTGATATGTACTTTCTGCGTAAGAATTCGGTCTCCCGTCCTCTTGTTGAGGCCACCCACTATCCGCTCACGCCGTCCACCTTGCCGCCGACCGTACCATCGAGGGGCGGCCCATCGCTCACGCCCGAAGCGGCGCGATCGCGCTCCCACTCGGCGGGCGTTTGGCACTTGGCGCTCCAGGCATGGATGCGGGCGATCTCCTCCTTGAGTGCGGCGTTGACAAGTCGGTGACGCTTGAGGGAGGACTGCTTTTCGAACTGGGGAGATATGATGAGGGATGTGAAGGATTGGCCGCAGCCACCTGTGTCCCTGTCAGTTCGTGCTCGGGCGACAAATCGAGCTGTTCCTTGAAGTAGCGGCGATGGCGGGGCAGCGGCGCGGGGTACGGTCTCGAGGGGGTTGAGCGGTGGAAGGGGTGGTAGTACCGGACATGTCCGTGACCTCGACGTGGACTGCCGTGAGGCGACTGGTCAGGGCCTCTTTGAGGGAGGCTTCGGTTATTTGGTCTGCCATTCTTGGTTGGTTGAAGCTGCGATGTTCGACAGCGCGCTGAACTTGGACGCTCGCTCAGTGCGCTGGGTCTGGCTGTGGGTGTCGCAATTGATAAGACTGTGGAGCGCAGAGGTGCTTAGTCACGCCTCGAAGTCCGACGTCACACGTCAGTTGCAGTTGCCGTAGAGCTTGGAGAGCGCCCGACTCGACCTCTTCCCAGCTGAATCCATAAATACACACAACCGCCTAGTCCAGCACGAAGACACGAGTAAGACCGATTGTGCCTTACAAAATCCTACAAAGTGAAGTACGCATGATGGCTGATCAAATTATTCATCGTGTAGGGGCCTTCATTACAACTATCGAGCTTGCACGTTGGACCACATGAGTTTGAAGCTGCTTCGTGTAAGCTGTAGTCGTCGACTCACTCCCAAGGCCGCCAGAAGCTCTGCGCTGCTGTGGACTTGCCGGTTTTCTCTTTCTGGCTCCCAAACGGCGTCTAATTTTCATTCCACGACGCCTCGCTACTGCTCCAGCGCCACAACGTCCTTGTCAGCTTCAAAGATGGCAGCTCCCTTCTCAGCTGCGGCGGCTCACGCCGACTACAAGTCGCCATCATTCACGCAAAAGGTTGTCGATGTGATGAGGAAGCAGTGAGTGGTCCTCCGATGAGTGACCGTCCCTCTCGAACCTCGGGCTGATTCTGTTAGCTTCCCCGAAGAGCTGGCTGAACGGAGCTGGGACAACGTCGGCCTTCTCCTGGGCAACCTTGAGACCGGCGGCAGCGAGACCAAGAACGCGAGTCCCGTGGTCCTCGTCACAAACGATCTTACGTATGCTGTTGCCAAAGAGGCCATTGCCAAGAAGGCGAGCGTCATTGTCGCGTATCGTATGTCGTGACCTCCGCTCATCCCCGGCTGAGAGTACTCACCAGTGGCCCAGATCCTATCATCTTCTCTGGACTCAAGTCAATCACCTCAAAGGACGCTCAACAAGCCACCTTGATTCTCCTCGCGTCCCACGGCATCGCCGTCTACTCTCCTCACACGGCCCTCGATGCCGCCCCCAACGGTATCAATGCCTGGCTGGCCGACGCCGCTACCGGCTCCGCCAAGGGCACGCGCGCCGCAGCGCGTCTCACCGCCAACCCCCCCGAGGGCTTTACCGGCGCCGGCGCCGGCCTCGTTGTCACCTTTGACGAGCCCCAGACTGCGGGCCACATTGCCTCGTCTCTCGCTGCCGCCACCGGCCACAAGCACCTCACCGTCGCGACGCCGGACCGTTCGGCCACGTGGCGCGAGAGGCCCGTCAAGAGCGTCGCTGTCTGCGCGGGCAGCGGCTGGGATGTCATCAAGGACACGGGGGCGGACGTGTTTGTCACAGGCGAAGTGAGCCATCACAGCGCGTTGAAGGCCGTCCAGGATGGCATCTTGCTGTTCACGCTGTTCCACTCCAACTCGGAGCGGGGCTTCCTCAGAGAGAGGCTTGTGCCGCTGCTGCAGGGTGAGCTGACGGCGCTTGAGGCTGGGGCCAAGGTATACATGAGCGAGGTTGACCGGGATCCCTTTGAGATCATTACGGTGTGAGGACTGGACTGGCGTGGTAGGAACTTGCGGGTGGATATCAAGGATACTCATTGACGATAGACTTGAGTAGGCCAAAAAGAATCTCTTGACGGATGACTAGACATGAGTGTTCGTGGAAGAGAAGGCGAATTCAGAGGGTCGTGGAGAGCCAATTCTTTGGAATGCATGTCGATATCATGGCAAACAACACTCTTTCCCATCACAGTCGTCTGACCGAATGGCTCACCGGCCGGCACGGCACTCTTAGCGGCGGGAGAGGTGCCGGCGGCCCAGGGAGGCTTAGCGCCACCCTGTGCGACCCCGAGGCGCGTCGCCGCCCTAAACACCAAAGCCGGGCGCGTAAATGCATCGCCAACCTGCGATGGGCGAGGGTGGGCCTGGCAGTAGAAAACAGGTTTCGTTTTCTGTTTATAGGCCTAACGCTCTTCAGCCCCCTAGGGGGCCTGTTGTGCCCCCCTTGCCTTCCGCTTATGTTTGCTATGAGGAGGTATCTCACAGTGTTCCTCCATGGTTTGAGCAATTAAAGGCTATCTACCCTCCTCTCTACTGGCTCTCTAACCTTCTCCATTTTATATCTCTCGACTCTGAGCATCTAATAACGAAATCCCGGACGTCAATCCTACTGATGTCTTCGCCGTTGGTAGTGGAGGGACGGCAACGCGGTGGCGTCTTGAGCGTCGCCGACGACGGTTTGCCCCCCTGCTAGAGATGATCACCGATAGTGGTGGAGCGACACGACATCAGTCAGAGGCCGTGACAAATGCGCTCATGTTCTCGCCCACGTCGCCTTCCCGCTCCCCGGCACGATAGCTTCAAGGAGAAAGATGGGTGGTGGTAGCAGGCGCAGGGATCAGCACACAAGCAGGCCTTCCAGTTGGTGGCTTCTCCCTCCTGAACATATGAACACGCCCCAACGCTAACAGGTCTAGGACTTCCCATCTCGCAAGGACCTTTGGCGGATCTTCGACGCAGCTATGCTACGCTCCCCAGACGCGGTCCGCGAGTACCTGGCTGAAGCTGTGTCCTTCCAGGCCAAGTCGAGCATCGCCTTACCTACGCTGGCTCACAAGTTCATCGCTCAATTCAGTTCGACTGGTCAGCTGGTGAGGGTGCACAGCCAGACTATCGACGGGCTGGAAGAGAAGGCTGGACTCGCCTGCGGTTTTGATGCTTCTGCCGTCTGCATCCAGCTGCATGATTCCATCCATTCTTCACGTTGCTCTCTCTGCCTGTCCCGGCCTTTGCTTGGTACGGTTGCCCCCGGAAGCGAATGCCTCCGTTGCGAAGATAGGGCGAGAAAGAGGAAGTACGTAGGGAAACGGAAGTGCTCGAGCGGCACCCTCCTTCCTGATGTTCGCCTCTACAACGAAGTTCGTCCAGAGGGTGGTTCGGTTGCAGAGGCAGTACGCCATGATCTTGAACCGCAGCCGGACGTTCTGTTGATTATGGTGACAAGCCTGAGTGTGCCGGGAGTCAGGGAGCTGGTCAGAGTCATGGGAAGTGCCGTTCGTGCCAGCGGCGGGAGAACGGTGCTGGTCAACAGGAAGCCGCCTCCAACCGCGTTCCAAGGTTTGATTGATGAGTGGGTGGCTACGGATTGCGATAAGTGGGTGGAGGACCAGCTGTGTTGAGTGTAGTGGTGTAATGAGGGACCTTTCAGAGATACGATGTACGTACCATTGCTCGCATGTGGAATAGGAGATATTCTTGCGTCATGTTGCGAACTGGCAGACAAGTTCCCAGCAGTGGCTGATGTCAGAGCTCAGTTGTCAGTCACCACCGTGGCTGGGTTGAGACGAGCCTTCAAGCAACGTGGCAACAGCTGCTCGAACACGCCTGGCCTGCGAAGGGTTGCTACCATCTCTTAGATTGGGCTCGCTGAGGCCGGAATGCTTAGAGGGTCTCGGATTGTTGCCAGTGGGAGGGAGGCTTGACTACCTTACCTTAGTCAAGCTCTCCGGCTTGTAGGCTGATCCCCCAGCTTCACTGGCCGCCTTGCAACGAGTCAGGATCTCCTACGTTTGGACTGGTTAGGATCCTACTTCGTCACTATTGGAGAATCTGCTTATATTTCCTGTGTTGCGTCCTTGGTCGTCGATCTCGGCAAGAAATAGCTTCTACGGAGGACCGTGGCAGCCAGGGGGGTGCTACAGGGGGTCCCTGTGATAGGTGAAGGTACCGCCTGGCCCATCGACCCTGGCAGGCCTGGGCGGCTCTAGCCCAAGGCCCGGCCAGGCAACTACTCAAACACAACCCATCGCAACCTGCCTTAAACAACCCCCAATCCCGCTCGTGCCATGGTCCCGAACCACCCCTCCTCATGGCGCCGCAGAAGCGCACAAGGCAACAAGCGGGCGACCTCTCCTCCGAGAGCCTCCCCCGAAAACCGCCAGCGAAGAGGATCAAAACGAGGACCTGGGAATCGCCTCCCGAATTTTGGGACCGGCTGTCCAAGATCGCGCTGACCCACGGAGCCTTGAGAGAACTCGACCGTCGCACGGAGCTTTCACGGACAGGACTTCCGCGCTCTCGTCACTCCCTCGCATGCACCACAAGCCCGTTCAAAGTCACCAGAGCACTCACCAGAGCACTCACTCGATTAGCGAACGACGGCGGTCCAGACCTATCTGACCTAAGAGGGGTGGGTATCATGACATACTCGGGCAGAAACGCTCTGACAATGAATCCAGCACCCCTCTCTCCCAGCGCCCGACCCTACTCCCGTCATCATGACCTCGAGGCATTCCTCGCAAAGTGGCGGCAGCCGATCGGCCAACCCAGCTTCGACGCAAGCCACCTCGGCCACAACCAAGTCGAAAAAGTCGACCGTATACAGCCGCAATTTCGATCAGCACTTGACAGACCATGGCGTTCATGCAACGTATTCGTCTGAAAAGCCGGACCTGCAGGAAATCAGAAAGGCTTTAGTAGCCCCGAGACGCTCGCTCTCGCCGTCGCAGTTTTCCGATACCGCCTTTGAAAGTTCCAGGAGACCAATGCCCGGGCTAAGGACGAAGACGATGTACTGGCAAATGTGTTGCCGACAATCCTTGGACCCAATCAAGCCAGCCACCCGTCCGCAAGAAACACAATATTTGGGAATATCAAGTCACTCACAGACGGAACAATCGCCCCGGCCAAGCCAGACCTGTACTACGGAGCGTCTCCCGAGGAATTATCCCGGTCTATCCGCAATGGGCTCGAGCACTACATCATCCCATCTTCCATGCACGACAAGCCCATGGCGCCAAACTTCTTCGTCGAGGTCAAAGGCCCAGATGGTAGCTTAGCGGTGGCAAACCGGCGAGCTCGCTATAATGGGGCACTTGGATCCCACGCTATGTACAGCCTGCAGAACTACGGCGAAGAAGAGCCCAGGTACGACGGCAAGGCATACACATTTGGCTCAATATATCACGGCGGCACGCTTCATATGTATGCCCATCACCCCACGGCGCCGACGACCCACGGAGGGCCGCCCGGTTATCACATAACCCAAGTCGACGCCTGGGCCATGACGGGCAACCGTGACGGTTTCGTCCGAGGCGCCACCGCGTTTCGGAACGCTAGGGATCTAGCGAAGCAGTATCGCCACAACTTCATCCAAGCTGCAAATAGCAGAGCATCACAGCAAGCCACTAAAGCTCCCCAAGGCGATCTAGCAGTCATAGCTCAGCTCGATCTAGATAAGGAGGGGAGTGCTGACGAATTCGTCGACTGCTTAGATTACTCTCCATCACCCACTCCCGACGAGCCTGCTCCTGGGGTTGCAGATATCGACGACTGCAGCCAGGCATCTGCACTGCCCGAGCTCGGCGACACGACAACTAGCTTCGCATCTAGCTTCACATCTGATTTCGCCGCCGACCGCTCAAAACGGCAGAGGCAGCCACTAAGTCCTGACTCGAAATTGATCACTCGAAGCCCCCCGTCTAAGAGTCGCCATCCCCGTGGGACAAGTAGGATAAGCCAGAGGTCACCTGTCTTTGGTCTTCATGTGGATGAAGTTGAATGTATGTGGGTGGAAACCTACTGGCTCGAGGGACCCGTCTGCTTCCGCATTGAGAAAGAAGAGATGAAGACGGATCGGAAGGACTGGACTCTGCAAATACAACAAGATGGGAGGTTCTGCTTTCGCTGGCAGGGCTCTGGAAGGCAGATCATCTGGACAAAGGAGCTGGTGGCAGGCGACTAGGAGAATGGGTTTGTCAGTATTTAGTGTTCCGGCAGCGCATACGGCTTCCGATGTGATGCGGCCATCGCCAAGGCGTGAGGGGCATGCGCCCCGTAATTTCGCCGCCGCATCTGAGTCCTCCTTTTGACCTTAGAATCACGAACCATCAACTTGATGGCAGGCAAAAGTTTCGATACTCTGTCAGGTATCTTTTAAACCCTGCTTGTGGGGCACGCTTAGAAGGTACAACAGATGGCGTTCCACTTCTTGCACAAAAATTATACCACCTTAGTAAGGCTGGTCAACGAGCTAATGAGATATAGACAGGATGCTAGGGTAGCCGATGGGGAAGTCGACAATTAATAGGCCCCCTGGTCGGCTCCCTGGTCGGCACTCATTGAATGATCGAACTTACTATACTCTATACTATAGAGTGCAGTAAGTTTCGATCCGGAAAGGACTTGGCATGCATGTCCTGCTGTGCCACAGAACATCTTCCGAGTCCCGAGTAAAGCTCTTGTCATTGGTTAAAATTGTAGACTGTGACAGGACCAGATTAACGTTGTTTAGGCATCAGCGGGGTCAAGCCCGGCCTCCCTGTGCCTGACTTAGCTCGATAAGCATTTGATATAGAACCTCCGCCACTCTGGACTTCTGGTTCTTGGGCTACTTCAATGAAACGTCGGTACTAGTACAGTAGTAAGCTTTTCTTGAAAGTGAACTAGGTCACCGTGACGCTAACGAGCAAGCCTGTCTCAGCAGCCCGGAAACAAACAGTTCACCGCTTGCGAGGTCCACTCGGCTATAATGGCTCACGATCCATCTAGATGGAGCCACTCGGATGGCGAGGCGCAGCGATACAATGGCGGCATCAGCGCAGTTACTCCTCGCTCATCTGGCTCTAGTGGCGTCTTAGGGGAGGCAACGGTGGGTGTGGGCGGGAACGCAACCGACTTAGGACTCACAGTCTCCTCCGGTCAAGAGGCAAAGAACAGAAGAGAGAGGGCAAGAAAGGAACGCGAGGCAAGGGAGACAGAGGCGAGGGACAAGGAGGCGAGGGACAAGGAGGCGAGGGACAGGGAGGCGAGGGACAAGGAGGCGAGGGACAAGGAGGCGAGGGACAGGGAGGCGAGGGACAAGGAGGCGAGGGACAAGGAGGCGAGGGACAAGGAGGCGAGGGACAAGGAGGCGAGGGACAAGGAGGCGAGGGACAAGGAGGCGAGGGACAAGGAGGCGAGTGATATGACAGCCAGCGTCAAGGGCTAAGTGTATTCTTTTCGAACAGAGCCCTTACCTCTGCTGTATAATCGTCATACTGCTTGACTTTGTTCGTGACCACTTCGGCAGCGTCCTCAGACCAGAAGCGCGACAGTAGCTGCTCGTTTTCAAAGGAAAGAGGGGTCGAAAATCTGGGGCAGATGTGATCCGTAAACAGTGTAGACATTGCATTGATGGACATCATGCCTTGCCAGAACCACACACCGCCCGATGTCCACGTGTCCCGCATGGCCTCCGAGAGTAGACCATCTTGCCTCTTAACTTTGCGCTCTTCCGCCTCGAATATATTCATGAACTCTTCCCGAGCGCGGTTGAATTCATCCCAGCGCTCTTCTCGTATTTCGTCGATCGCACAATTGGTCAACCAGTGCGGAACGCTTAGTCTTTCGATAGGAAGAGCACATATCCACTCCAGATCTATGAGGGCAGTAATGTTCCATTCTGTATCGACAAAGATGTTACTAGAATGAAAATCGTCAAGCTGAAGAATGAACGGTCCATTTCTACGATCTTGCCGTACATAACGGTGTGCAAGCATTCGGAGCAAGAGTCTCGCGGCCATCTCCCCGCGACAGTCCTTATCGTCGAAGACCATGTTGGGATGAGACAAGAAGCGCATATCGTGGAAGTTGAACAAGTCCGCCATGAAGGGCTCAATAGATTCGTAGGTTGTTTCTCGCTGCATTGCCGCTGGTGAGCCTTCATTCTCAAGGATCATGAAGGAACACAATAGAGGGCGATTCGTCAGCGTGATGGTACCGTCATCACGAAACTGGAAAGACCCAATTCTCGGTTGGGGGACGCGGGAAAGGGAAAGCATCAGCCGGGATATGCCTTGAAACAAATTCCGCCTTCGGACGGGATCCATGCGATGCTTGTTCCAAGTGTTGGAGAGCATCTGGCTGCTATCTGAGCCTACATCCTCAAGCAGCATATACGCTGTAGGGAAGCGGTATTGGGCCGCATGCCTGGTGTATCGTGACAGGAGGATCGGTCGTCTGACTAGGGTATGGTACAGGCGCCGCAGACCGTGCAGCATGCGTATATATAGAGGGCGGTGAGCTTCGTGAGTAAACTGTATATCCTCTTTTGTCAGCACCATGAGTCAAGGAAAATTGGAGGAGACGTACGTGGCGCTGATCAGAGAAGCCGAAGCCGTAAAGATGTGGGATACGAATATCAGGGCATTTTTCTTGGATCCACGCATATGCTCCTACTTCACAGTCCATCTTCTCGTCCATGCTGCCAGGCTTATGAGCTTCTGCAAGCTTATGGGGCATGGCGCAGCGCAGAATGAGCTTGTAGGACGAGCCCGGCGACCGCACGTTAACAGGTAGGCAAACATTGAAGTTCCCTCGAATCCACTGATGCTGGGGTGCGATGAAACAGTCAAATTGATCGCCTAAACCTATGTGGTGTTTGACGAGGGCGCTCATGACGTCCCTTTCAGCCCAGAGCCTCCGATAGAAGGCCTTGGTCGCTTCGACATGTCGTACTTCTTGAACGATGTTCTTGTCCGTGTCGAGAGCCGCTTCCTGCGTGATCAAGGAGCCATTCGGTAGCTCCAGCGTTGGGAGTGGCCCATTTTGTTCATTTGACGCGTCGGAAGAGTTGGACATGGCTTGTGTTGTCGCAGCTGAGGGCTGCCAGATGCCGCAGCCATCAAGAGAGCTCGAGAGGCGTAGATCTCGTTACAGTGTGGGGAAGTGTTTCCCCCCTGTGAGGTTGCTTCTACCCCGAAGATCTGCCGTACATCAAGCCGAGCTGCGGGGCTTCGAAGGCGTCAAATCCTTTTGGCCGCCCACTGTAGCTCACCTGGCGATGCCAAATATTACCCGGAGACTGCGTGTCGCCCCCCTGAAACAAAGAGGGATCAGGCGCGACTCGGCCGCCATCAGTGCACTACTGTCAGGCGTAGAGGTGGTCTCGATATCGGGGCCGAATACATATGCTGAATTGCATATAGGCTTAACTAAGGTTCTTATCGAGAAGCTGTTAGGCCCGCGAGATATTTGACCATAAAACTTAGGTACGTTGCTCACAAGCAGTTTCGGGTTGCACACCGCAACTGATTGATCAGCGTTCCATGAGCGTTGAGACGTGCACGTGACGCTATGTTATGCTTATAAGCGGGGCGTGTGCTTGATTCATCTCACGGCAGTTCCTCGGCTAAGTCCCCCACCTCCCTCTGATACGAGAGCAACTCTCCAGGCTGCAATCAGGCTGCTTGCTGCCTGGCAGGCCTGGGTGCTTCGTGCTGTTCCTTGATCGTCCGTACTGTCAACGAGCATGGAGCCTGCAAGTTTTGCCACTGGCCTGGTCGGGCTTGCTGGCCTGCTCAGTTCCTGTCGTGAGGCCGTGAAATGAGCGCACTTGTATGATTCGTTTTTGAGCGACTCTATGAGCAGAAAGTCTGCATGTTGCCTCTATAGCAAAACTCCCTAGAGGAAAATAACATGGGTTCAGAGTCTCGGAGTTTAGCCCAGCAGAACGGCATAGCATTCCCTAGTATAACAGTCCTAGTCTTGATGAGGTCCTCTTTTACAAACTAACGTATCAAGCTTTGGTATCATTCTCAGGTCTGACTAGGCCACATACCGGGCCTTTTTCACCCCTCTTGATTCCGGTCTGGTTATATGAGAAGGCCGCACAGGTAGCGTACTCGCTGGAAGCCACAGCCGGGGCTAGGATGTGATAGCTGGCGGTTAGGAACCTTCCGTTGGAATTTTGCGCTGTGGCCTCTTTCCCCGACATCCATCCAGGATTTCCTCCATGACATCTCAACAGCAAAGATACCCCGACCCGATGGAATCCTCTAATGACTGGAATCGCCTTACTTCATACGCAATTACATCACCACTTGGGAGCAGTGTATTGCCGTGCCACGATACGACGAAATGGGAAGCACTCTGCCTCTGTCAGAGCGTTGTTTAGAACAGAGTGAAGGGGTCTTCCACAGGGTCCGCAGGTAGTTAGAATATAGGTATAGGATAAGAATATATCTGAATTCTGCCCTCCGTAGCTTTAGGGGGGCCCTCCGCAGCCTATATATACGTTCTCTCGTGACCCTTAGCCCCTGGCCAGCCCCCTGGCTTGGCAGGCCCTGGGTGGCTCCGCAGGGTCCTGACAGCCTCTACGCATCGAGGCTCAACAACAATCTGCCCTGCCGCGTCCTTCCAGGCATAAGAAATGGTCTGCATAACTTAGAATGCGTGCTTGAATTTAAAGACAGAACTAGATAGGTTGCGCGAGTTCAAATAAAAAGAAGCACCGAAGAAACAGCTCGGCAACTACAAAGTGAAGCCGACACCATGGCACTCATTTGCGAACAGACAAGGGTACCTATCCCAAAGGTTTTTGGATACAAAATTGACGATAACAACCCGATAAGTGCAGCATTTCTTTCAATGGAATACCTCCCTGGGACTATTGTAATGGATGTAGGCGGAGAGAATGCAGGCCACGGTCTAATCCCCCAAAGACGACGCAAGGACTTCTATTCAGCAAGGATTCAGGTGTCTAGAAATCCAACCATCAAGCACGCCCCCTCTTACCGTGCTAATCGAAATATAGGTACAAATCAGCTCTCTTCGTTTCCCCAAAATTGGGATAGTTTTCAGAAACGCTACCGGCGAGTACGAGATAGGCCCTTTGCTAGAACTTGGTGGACCTTTTGAAACCGCATCCGATTCATTGCGTCCTGGGCTGCACATGCTCGCTTTCCTAAATCAAAAAGTACTCTACGGACTATTCTAAATCCGTCTTTACGAGCCGAAATTCTCCAGTCCATCGAAGGCTTTCCTAGGAATATACTCGTATCCGGAAGCCGGCTATTGTCTCACGATGCAGGGCGTTCCCGATATGTTATAGAGACCTTTTCCACAGTAATATCATTGTTGACTTAAACTTCAGTGTTTAGGGGGTGATCGACTGGGGGAAGGTGTATGCACTCTACCTTGGGAACTTCTTGAGTCGCCGGCCTTCCTAGAAACCGTCCCCCTAAAGTTTAATGCACTACAAAACTATAACGAAGCCGGACAGCTAAAGGATGAGGAAATACGTCTTGTATGGCACGAAAGGAGGGACTATATTGACTTGGTTGCTTAGATGGAACGAGAAGGACGTCACGACAACAGAATCCTCAACCCTCGGGGACCATTCCCTTCAAATGCTTGCGTATGCTATGAGGGTCTACACAGATCCAGGAAAGTTGGGTTTCTTTAATAGGATATTAGACTAATCAGGTATTGGCCGTCAATCTCGTCTCGTGAACATGATGCTAATTGTGTGGATGATTTGGGTTTTGGCTGATTTGGGCTTATGTTCCATGCCGACTTAGTCCATGAATGGCGTGGCGGTAGACTCCGACGGCACGGCTAGTCTAATCGTTTCTATGTTGATAAGGCTGTTGGAGAAGATGAAGGAACCGCTGACTGGATGCGCAATATAGAAGATAATTATCGCCTAGGGATACTACTACCCCTACTCATTGTGGCTACCGACGAAAGAGTACCGAGAATAGAATGCTATAGGTGTGCGTTGTATCAAAAAGGGAAGAGACGTTCGCTATGCCACGAGTTGCGCACATATCGATCGAGAGGGGGCAGACATGAGGAAGAAGCCGAGGCATTCGTGCTATCGGCTCCCTGATGGCAACTCAAGGGGGGAGGCGGGAGAAGCCGGTGCGATGGTGTTGTTACTGCTGCTGTGACTCCCTAAGAAGTTGCAACAGCAGATCGTACACATCCAAAAGAAGCCAGCACTGAGCGTCTATGATCTCTTGACGAAGCCTCACGTCCCTCAACGCATATCATTGGGCCAAAGCTTCCACCCCACAATAAGGGGGTTGAAATAACAACAGCTACCGTGAAGGACTGCTCTGCTCCCGTGAAGGACTGCTCTGCTCCCGTGAAGGACTGCTCTGCTCCCGTGAAGGACTGCTCTGGTTGACCGGACAACTAAGCTTTATGAGGGCTGAACTAGTAGCTGGGTAGGTGTAACGGCCAGCGAATCCTCGGTGTTGCATGTTTTTGACGTTTTGGACTCGAGTGTCCATCTTGAATCATTCATTCATGGAGCTGCCCATGGTCAGACTTCATTTTTGGACAGGGTACTTTGTGAAAGGTGGATCCTCTACCTCTGCACGCTACGCCCGACATGGACCTTTAAGCGAACCAATCGATGCTTGGCCCTAAGCCTTCACTGCATCACGCCCTGCACCTGCACCTGCACCACGGTCAAAGAAGCAAGTTTCCCCGCTTCGGGCGGCTGCCACCTGCTCGCTCACGGCCCACCCCCTGCCCCTCCCCCTCCCCCTCCCCATTCGATTTCCTCTCCCGCAGGTAACCCAGCAGCACAGCGGGAGCATCAGTGGGAGCGTCCATTGACGGATCAGCCTGCCAGCTTGCCTGACCTTGTCCGGGTGCCGGCTGCAACTGTACATCGTTCATTGTGGCGCCAGAACGGTGTAAGACCACCCGGCTGTGGCCAATCGCCTGCCTTGGAGGGTGTCGTCGAGTGCGCCGATCACCGCTGGGAGCAACCTCTTGACCATCCGCTTCCTATTCCCGTTCATCGGGGGGGACAGTGAGAGAACAATGTCTGATGAGTAGCAGCACTGGAGCAATTGGGACGACCACGAGACAGAGCCTTCGAGCTCGGGCTGCTCTGCCTGACAGGCGACTACCAAAAGGTTATGGCAAGCCAAGGCGACGACGCAGACCAAAGACAAACCGTCGACAACCCAAAACATCGGCTTTGCCAGGACCTGGGACGGCGTCTGCATCGTGGGGCGCGCGCCCATGGCACACCCCCGCAAACGGCTTTCCGTGTCAAAGGTCCAAGGTCCAAGGTCCAAGGGGGCAGGGGGAGACATGTGAGCTTCGTTGGCAGGCGCTCACTAACGGGAAGGAAAAAAAGGGCGACCTTGCCGTACCTGGCCTATGCTGCGTGACCTGACCCCGAGCTGGCCTGGCCTGATCTACGTGCGTACTACCTGACCATCATTATCCCATCACCTGCTGGCGCGAGGCCTGCTGGCGAGAGAGAGAGGGAGAGAGAGCGAGCGGGCTGCAGTGCTGCAGCCGTCACACGACCAGGCTCGCCCCACATCTGGGCGCGCTTCTCCGGTCCTGGCCTCGCGTCGTGTCGGTTCGCCGCCTCTTGTTTGTCTGGAGCTGGAGATGGAGCTGGAGCTGGACCTTGAGCTGGAGCTGGACCTGGACCTGGACCACGCAGCCGAAAGTCCCTCCACTCTGGGCGGCGTGTTTGGGTCGTTGCTATTTGCCTCCGACCTACCTTGCCTTTGGGGTACCCAGTCAGGTTAAGGTACCCAGTCAGGTAAGGTACCTGGTGGCTAAGGTTTTTCCTCCATTCTGGACTGATGACTGACTGACTTTTGCACCCCCAGGCAAAAAGCCTTTCGGTCTTTCGAGTCACCTCACCTCACCTCACCTCACCTCACCTCACCTCCGAAGGTAGTCATTACCAATTGACGATTGCCCAGCCCACCCCGTTCCCCCTCCATCAGCCATTGCGCGCGCGACAGCCAGGCAGGAGGCGAAAGGCCAAGAAAAAGTCGAACCAGGGTCCAGGTCCAGCTCCAAGTACAGACAGAGTTGACTGACCACCGCGTGCCTTACCTTTCAGGTAGAGACTGTCCATCTGCCGTCCAGACAGACCTGCCCTCGTCGGATCCTTACCTTGTCTACCTTACTACAAAGACCATGACGCCGCCACCCGCCGCGGCTGGCACCATGGACGACAGGACTAGCTTGACCGCCATCTCGAGTCAAATCGAGACTGACTCTTCTTCTTCTTCTTCTGCTGCTGCTGCTACTGCCGCCGCCGATACTAATACCAAGCCTTTGCCCGCCCCGACCCTCGACGCCGGCAAGCAGACGGCACCTGTTCGCCAGTGCCATTGTCGCAGCAAGGCCAAGAGTGAGTAGAGCCTCTTGTTTGTCTTCTGCCTACGGCCTCTCTATTTGCTTGTTTGCCTGTCTTTAATGTTTCCCTCAACTTCTGTTTTGCTGCTGCTACTGCTGCGTTCACTTCCCACGGCCCCTCTCTCCAATCCGTTCCTGTCTGTCACTTCCCCTCTGCCACATCTTCTTCACGTTCGCGCAAGTCAAACCCGTCTCTCCACATCATTCCTCCTTTCTACACACAGAAACATGGCCATGGTCTCGCCTTTTGGACCCTTGCTTTGGACAATTGCTACGCCACGCGCCAGCTCCAGCTCCATCTCTAGACCCTAGACTTCCCTACCCCCCCTTGGGTCTCGCCCATGCCTGCTTGAGCCATCCTCCGCACGAAAGCGAGACACTGACATGCCAACCCCCCCGTCCCCCCAGATCCAGCTACGACGCACGAGCCTCCCATCACAACCACCGCCACTACCACCACTACCAGCACCACCACCACCACCTCCTCCGCCCCGCATTCGGCCTCGACCGCGCCTCTCGCCGCCATCGATATAAAGCCAACACCGCCGCCTACCTCGACCGTCGCTGCGGCGCCCATGAACATCAAGACGTCACCCACGTCCGCCAAAATGATCTTCTCCGACATGTACAGGTCGCCGCGCTCGCCACTCTCCAAGATTCGACATTCCGTCTTCGCGGCGCCTCTGCCGCTACCCCATGCTGACTACGACGTCGACCTTCTTAGCAAGGACAAGGCCAAGCAGAAGGAGGCTGTCAGACGTCACCTTGAGGAAAAGGTGCGCAACGATTGGGACTTTGTCTGGCCGCCCGTGTCGGCTGCCGCCTCGGTACCCGCGCCTGTGCCTCCTCGCTCATCCGAAAACGGCGACGATGTCACAGTGGACCCCACTACCGAGCCACCAACTGAGACATCCCCTTCTGAACCACCACAACTTGGGGACGACTCGGTGACAGCCGCCGAGGAGAGGAATCGCGAGTCGACAGATGAGGAGCTCGACGACGGCCCTGACAGCGACGCCGAGTCTGTCTACAGCACCGTGTCTGAAGATCCTGTTCACTACCGGCCACGACTCGACTGGGTATCGGATCTCTCCGACGACGAGGCTCCACCCATGTCTCTCTCTCCCTTCCGCTTCGACACGCCCGAAGCAATAGGCGCAGCCGTCAAAGCCTCGGTCGTCGACAAGCAGGCACAGCGGAGGAGAGCTGTTCGCGAAGAGATTCAGTGGAACGAGGGTCTCGCCTGCTTTGAGGCGCGCCGCAATGCCTGGACTGGCGCGAAAACGGTTCGCGTGCGCCAGAAGCCCGTCTCTCCGTCGACCTCTTTTGCGTCTCTGTCGCCCAAGCGGCTCTTCCAGCGCACATCTGTGCCCCCTTCGCCGGCTCACCACAGCTCGCCTCCTCAGCAGCGCCGCAGCCACGACGCATCGACCACAAACTCGGATGGCTATGATTCGAAAGACGGCAGTCGCGACCTCAGCGCCCAGCGCTCCAAAGACTCATCGCATTCTACGACTTCGGCTCCGTCCACCGTAGCGTATTCCGTCGAGACGCTGCTGCCTCTCGCACCACCCCTCCTCCCACCAAATAACCCCATGCGTGCCTCCATCACGCCCGCCGTGTACCTCTCGCTCTACGAAAAAGTCATTCTCCACAATCTCACGCCGTCCTGTCCCGTCAATCTCTCTGATATGATCCGTGCGTGCGTCACGGGCTGGAAGCGCGACGGCGAGTGGCCACCCCGCCCGGCGCCCGCCGACCCCATGAGCCTCGTGGCCGTGCGGAAGAAGAAGCGCGCATCTACGGGGGCAGGTGACGGGCTTGGCACCGCACGGCGCATGAGTTTTGGCTTCCTCGGCCGAGGCGGAGGCGGGGAGAAGACCGGCGCCGAAGAGAACAAGGGCGTCGCCAAGGGGATCAGGGGCAGCCTGCAGCGAGTCCTGGGGATCGGCCACCATGCTGCCACCCCGAATGGAAAGAGTGCCGTGGCTTGAGAGATGCAGCCGATGAGAAATTTCCTAGTGGCCCCGGTTCTCGGGTCATGTGTTTGTGTCGGGGTGGGAGAGAAGACCATGGATCCTGGTCCTGGCTGGAAGTCAACGTGCAAAGATTCTATATACCCTTTTTCTTTTTGACGCGCAGAATGAGGCTGAGGGATCAATGAGACTCAATTACTGTCAGCTGGATGTTTCACGTTGCTTCAATGAAACGTACACGTTCACCATTCGCGCCAGCTAAAATCCATGAGCTGCACCAAAGTCTCACAAAGCTATCTCACAAAGCTAACTCACCTAGCTATGCTGCCCCCAATGCAATTCTCAACCCACGTGTACATGATCACATTGCTCGTCACTGGAAGTACTGTCTCAATCCAACATGGCCGCCATTGTACTGGCCCCTCCGGGCGCCTGGTCGAGCAAGTCGGCGACCCAATGCTCCAAGGCATCCTCCTGGCTGCTCCCCAGGCCGAGTTCCTCCGACTGCTGTCGCCTCTGGCTCATCGCGCCCTTGAGCTGGCCGACAAGGCTCGCGACCGCCCCGGCGTCATAGAGACCCTCCCTCCTCTTCGAAGCGGCAAGCAGCTCGACCGCTCTCGCCGTCACGCCCTCGTCCGCGCACTTCATCGCCAGGAGAAAGAGCGGCACCACGACACCCGTCTCAGACGATAGCGTCCACGGCTTCATCAACGCAGGGCCCGCAGTCGCCGCCGCATCGCCCGAACCGTCGAGGCGCAGAACGTCCTGACACAGCTGAACGAGCCCCTCGGCCGCGCGGTCGGCGCTGCGCCTGTCGGCGGCGCCTGGCTCCGTCGGCGGCGGCGGCGGCGGCGCGAGGGACGCGGTGAAGATGCCGTGCCTCTGCTGCCAGAGGTCGAATTCGCGCGTCAGGCGGTGCTTCTCTGCGAGCACGGATGCGGGGATGCACGACGCCGGCTGGCCCTGGTAGGCTGTGTTCTCCTGCAGGAAGCGCAGCAGCCAGTTGGACATGCGGATGAGCTGCTTCTGCGCGTCGGCGAGGCTGGCGAAGGACGTGGCCGGGCCCGCGCCGCCGGAGCCAGAGCCGAGGCCGAAGCCGACGCTGAGACCGCGCTCCCGCTCCCGCCGCGACACGAGAGCCAGCGCCGGCGCGCGGGCGTCGTCGAAAAAGGTCGCCTGCATGTCGAGCCGGCCGAGCGTGTCGCGGATGCTGCGCATCTCCTCGTCGTCGTCCTCGTCGTCGCGGAATGCAAGCACCTTGTTCATGAGCCGCAGGCCGTTGTCGAGGTGGTTCAGCGCCGCCGGCACGTCGCCGAGAGCGCTCTCGAAGCAGTAGAACAGCACGCAGCAGATGAGCGCTGTCTTGGCCGTCTCGAACCGGCCCGCGCACGTCCCGTCTCCCGACGACCGCGCGATGCGCGTCTGCAGCGACCGCAGCGCCTTGCCGTACTGCCGCAGCGTCGCGTCGCCGACGGGGTGGCCGGGGCCGGGGCCGGAGCCGGAGCCGGAGCGGCTGCTGCACCCGCTGCCCGAGAGGTCGAGGTGCAGCGCGCTCAGCGCGATGAGCGACTGCCGCACAATCGTCTCGTTCTGGCTCGCGTAGAGGGCCGTCTTGGACCAGAACTCGTTGGGCACGAACCCCGCGAACTCGTTCGCCCCCTGCACGCAGAAGTAGTGGAGGAGCTGCCGGTCGCGCTGGCTGCCCGGCATGCGGAACGGGATCGAGTAGACCTTGATGGCCGCCAGGCCCGGCGGCGACCGGCGGCCGGCGACCTCGTCGGAGGAGGATTGCGGTGAGATCAGAACGCTGCTGGGGGTTCGTGCTGTGTACCCGTCGCATTTGCGGCCCGTCTGCGTGCATTTCAGACAGCTGGGCTTTGCCTCGTCGCATTTTACACGCCGGATACTTGTTTTGGGTCAGAGTCAAACAGCTGTAAATGCAGGGACCGGTTGATCTCGGATTCGCGAGGTGTAGACAGATGCTTGGCACTTACCGACATGTCTGGCATCCAGTCCTCACTCTTGGAGTGCTCTTCCTCGTGGTTCTCGACATTTTCTTCGCTTCTCGATCTTTTTCCCCCTTTCGCTTCGACCAAGTTCGGTAGTTGGACTGACAAAAGTTCCTTGGGATTGGCTGCGTCGTCTATTTCACTGCTCGCGAATTGTGCCGTCGCTCATCTTCTCGCCTTGTGGCGCCACGCGGCACGGAGAGGCGTAGCTCGCTGTCGAGGCACCTTCAATTTGAATGCTATTCTCGCCATGCAGCTGACTTGCAGGGTAGGATTTTGCAATTGACGATGCGCCCAATGGGGAGAGGCACGCTCTCCGGATGGCCCAACTGCCGACGTGTGCGCTTGTGGCACGGCGCCGTCACGCTTTCGTTCGCGGCGGTAGAGAGACGAAGCTATTTCACATCCTTGAGGGTCTGTTTCTGAGGAACTTTTGTGTGCATCCCGACATGATCCACTAGCACAGTGGCTGCCTACGCGAGGTGATATATATGGTAGCAAGAGAAGAGAGGCCACTCCATTGATTGACGATCATGTACTTGTTGTGTGTTCTGAACGCCACCTTTACAGATCACCTGCTATAATCATCATCATGAAGTTGCCCGCAGGTTCCATATTTGTATTTCTCTCCACAGTAGCTGGCATCAGTTCTGCCTTTCTGCAGAAGCGACAATTCAGTGATGACAGCTTCGACTGGGCCACCGTCAAACCTTCACGCAGCTTGCAGTATCACGACTGCTATGACGGGTTCAAGTGTGCGCGCTTGAAAGTGCCGCTCGACTGGACAACTGCCAATTCGTCGAAATGCGCAAGCTCATCCCGCTGGGCTGCTATAGGCATAGTCACTCTCCCGGCGTCCGTTCCCGAGACTGACCCGTCATTCGGCGGCACCATTCTCATTAACCCCGGAGGCCCCGGCGGGGGCGGCACTGAAATGGTATTGGATATAGGGTTGTACATGCAGGCAATATTGGACGGAGATCGACACTATGAGATCCTCGGGTTCGACCCACGAGGTGTGGCACTGAGCACCCCTCGCGCCGACTGTTATAATGACGACCTCAAACGAGCCGCCGACTTCATCCAGAAAGAGGGACTGCCGGCGATGACGTCCGGCTCTGAAGCTCTGACTCACCATTACCAAGAGACAAGGGGCCCGAGTGACCTCTGTGCCGAGGCTGGGGAGGACAGCATCTTCAACTACATGTCGACCGCCTCTGTGGCGCGCGACATGGTCGAGATTGTGGATCGCGTTGACGAGTTGCGGCACAAGAACTTGACCTCGGCGGAGGATGGAGAGCGCGAGCTGCCGAAGCTGCAGTACTTCGGCATCTCGTATGGCACGATTCTGGGCAATACCTTTGCGTCCATGTTTCCTGGTCGCGTGGGCAGGATGGTGCTTGATGGCGTAGCCGACGCCGACGACTACATGAGCGGTGTAAGCCTTTCTGTCTCTTATTATTGATCTAAAAATGGCTCTTTGAGTGCTGACGAACATTAGACTTGGGCGAAGAACCTCAACGATGCTGAAGTGGTCGTCGACAAGTTTTACGAGACGTGCTTCCGCGCTGGAGGACTCTGTCTCCTGAAACAGGAAGCAGATGGCAGCGCGGCTGACATCAGGAAGCGCGTGGACGACTTCATACAGGCGTTGGTCAAAACCCCCATCGTAACCGTTGCCGGAGGTCGCGTCCGTTTCGTCACGTCCCCTATCGTTCGCGACACCATACGTCGAGCTCTCTATTCACCGATCAAGGCATACGAACTGCTGTCCATTGTTCTCGCCACTACCCTTGCGGGCGATTAAAGCCTCTTGCTGCAAAGTCCAGCGGTCAACAACTACGAGCGCAAGGATGTCTGTGTCGTGCCAGGCGACTACTACCCTCCTCAAAATTACACCTGGGACAGCGAGGCCGGAATGGGTGTGCTTTGCGGCGAGCGATCAAAGCCGGCGAGCGCAATAACGTTTCCTGGGCTGAGAATATAGTTGAGCAGCTTGATGCCCAGTCACCAACTGCTGGAGAGCCTTGGGCGCGGATCCCGCTCTCCTGTTCGGGGTGGAGGTATCGACCGAAATATGCCTTTAGGGGTCCGTTCGGCCACTTGAATCTCGACCTTTCGAAAGCAGAAGACAAGCCCGCGGCTCCGCTCCTGATTCTGTCGACGCGACACGACCAAGCTACACCACTTGCCAACGCCGAACATCTGTCGACGCTTTACCCCGGATCAGCCGTCGTCATCCAGGAGTCTGTGGGCCACTGCGCCTTGGTCACCTCCAGGAGCGAGTGCACTGCGCAGCATCTGCGGACGTACTTTGACGTTGGAAAGGTCCCGAGAAGCGGGACCACGTGCGAGGAGGACTGCTCTCATGGGATCCCCTTTGTGCCCTGTCCAGGTTTTGCCGATACGCCGAGTTGAAGCAAGGCAGATGCAGTAGCATTGAGTCAAATGGCGTGAGGTTGACAATGCAAACGGAGACGGATAGGGGCACTGTAGCTAAATAATTTCACGAAAGATGCGGCAATAACGACATTGCAGTATTGAGCTGCCTTGTAACTATCATGAGTTTGTGCAAATTTCAGTTGACTGCAGACCAATTCTCATGGCAGATGACACAATCCTCGTACCGTATAATTTACACCACGAAGCTGGAGGTGACAGTCGTCTTGATGTCCCTCGAACTGAACCCCATGCGGAACTCAAAATCCCCGCTTGGAATCTCCCAGTCCTGCGCAACGACGTTCCAGAAACTCACATCGCGCCGTCGAAGAGGGAGCGTCACACTTTTGGCCTCTCCCGGCCGCAGACTCACTTTCTCGAACCCACGCAGCACGCTCACAGGAGTACCCTCTGGCACCGAATCTTGGGGGAATGCCATGTACAACTGCACAACCTGCGCGCCGGCCAAATCGCCCGTGTTCTTGACGGTCACTGTCACAGAGCCAATCTCCTTCCACAGAGCTGGATTGCCGCCAGGGTGGGTGCCGTTCGTCCGTGGGGGAAGCGGCGAGATGCCGGCGCACTTCCTCTCAAACGTCGCATTGGATCCCATTTCAAATGTCGTGTAGCTCAGGCCGAAACCGAACTCGTACTGAGGCGTGATGTTCCTGGCGTCAAAGTGGCGGTAGTCGATGAATTGGCCTTCTGTGAAGTCTGCCTGCCACGCCGCTGAAACACGTGCCGCGTCACCGGTGATGTTGACGATGGGGAAGTCATAGTCTGACTCCTTCTTCGGGATCGTGTAGGGTAGGCGGCCTGACGGGTTGACGTCGCCGAAGAGAACATCCGAGATGGAGTAGCCGTTCTCCTGGCCGGGATAGTGAGCGGCGAGGATGGCCGTCACGTTTTCGTTATCAGCCCAGGGCATCGTGTTGACGCCGCCAGAGTGCGTGACCACGACGGTGTTGTTGCAGCGGCGCGCCACGTTCTCCACGACGACGGTCGAGTTCCAGTCGTTCTCAAACGAGAGGCGGTCGGTGCCCTCACGTGCCCAGGTCTTGAGGAAAACGAGGCAGACCTCTGGCGTGGGATAGATTGACGTAAAGTCATCTTCCACCATCATGTGATTGTCCAGTAAGTACTGAACCCTGCCCCCGTAGTCCTCAATCCGACCGCGCAAAGCGAACAGAGGTGAAATGAGACGCGTGTGCCGGCCGGCGCCGGAACCTCCGCCAACGGAGAGCGCGCCGATGTTGGGACCCCAAGGCCCGCTGTCATCGCCGGTGAAGGTCAGGCCCTGCGTCACATCTGCCGCTCCGTTGCCGAAAACGCCGACATTCTTGGGTTTGCCAAGGGGGAGAACATTATTTGTGTTTTTCAGGAGGACGGTGCCAGCAGCGGCCACCTTCCTCACGATATCAGCGTGATTGGCGCGGACGTCCCGAGCAGGTGGTGGATTGTTCGGGTCCATTCCAGCTCCAGTAAGATAAGTATCAGGATAATTGTACGTCCTGGCGAAGACGAAACCAGTCGACGGGTCGATCGACGGAAAGTCTTCATCCTGCTTGAGGTAGAAATAGGGGGTGAGAACTCGGCGGGCCATGTCGTTCACCTTCTCCTCGGTCAAAGTGCCATTCAACACGGCCGCCGTCAGGTTACCGCCGAAGTAGGACGGCGTGGGGAAGATGGCCGTCGCCGCACTGTTCATGGCTCCTGGCATGGTCATGTCGAGGCCGGCCGCGGCGGACGCTACGCCGGAGTGGGTTGCAAACCAGTCGGACACAACGTACCCCTGAAAGCCCAGCTCGTCCTTCAAAAGGCCGTTGAGGATCTTGGAATTCTCGCAGACATAGGTCTGGTTGACCCTGTTGTAGCTGCACATGACGGAGGCGACGCCGGCACGAACTGCGTCGGCAAAGGGCCAGAGGTAGAGCTCATGCATTGTGCGATCGTCAATGTTGGACGACAGCGCCGCGACCTCGAGCCCGTCCTCGGTGAAGGTGTTGGAGCGCTGCGTCTCTTGTTCGTTGCCGATAAAGTGCTTCGCGCTGGTTTGGACGCCCATCTCCTGGATGCCTCGGATGGAAAAGTCCATGGCGACACCCGTGAGAAATGGGTCTACAGAGAAGCTCTCCCAGTTGCGCCCTCCTAGGGGGTGACGCCCGAGGGCGCCAGACGCGGGCCTTTAGATACGAACACACAGGTCAGTATCTACCTGCATGTGTCACATGCTGGTGGTTGAAGACTGTACTAACCCCAAGTGCACCTGTGCTCCTTTACCACGAAACTCTGCGCCGAGGGCCTTGCCGCGCTGATAGATCAGATCTCGGTCCCATGTCGCCGCCGCCGTCAGGCCTGCAGGGAACACGGTTGCCAGGTCGGCGATTCTGACTGAAGCCGTCTCTATTAGCACCACACCATGAGTTTTTCCGCCGGCCCTTTCTTACCTGACACGGGTCCATCGGCCAAGCAGTAACCAGAGAAGCCAATCTCTTCGATTGGGCTGATGTTGCCGTTGCAGGACAACCCCATGGTGGCACCAGTGGTCAGGGCGACCTTTTGTGTCAGGTTCAACTTGGCGACTGCATCGGTCGCTTTCTGAAAAGCGACCTCCCAGCCTGTTCCGCTGCTCTCGGCTGCAGATTCTGTCAGTATTGTGGAAAGTAATGAAGCTTCTGGTGGCACACGTACGGGTTGGGTATGTCGGCACGGTTTCGAAATGGCCGCCATCCGTGAAGGCCGTAGCAACACCGATGCCTCCGAGGACGGCAAGTTTTCTGATGAGCTTGACCATCTTGCCGCGGCAAATCTTGATGGAATAGTTTGCTGCAGCCCTTGATGTTTGTAGAGGGTGGCAGAGTTGATGAACGCTGCAGAGTGGTCCAGGAACGAGCTCTTCTAGTAGTCGACTGGGGCGCCGCTATTTAGGGATATTCATCTTTAGCAATCTCATGAGGTCCATTTTGATGACGTACTCCAAGGCGTAACATCATGCGTATACCATGGCCCCGAACGTCTTGCCGGACACCGCATGAGCTTAGATTTGGTCGAAGAATCTCGGAGATAACGAGGCTGACATGGAGCGGCCACCTTCGCAACTTGGACCGAGAGGCTAGCGATGATGAACTCGTCTATTGTAACTTTTGTAGGGACGGCCGTGTTCGGCCCTTCTTTTCGTGGGGAAAACCCGGGGTTCACGGCTCAATACCTTGTTCTTTCCATTGACAAGTGGAACGGGTTCGCGACCTAGGTGACGGTATTGGTCACTCCTGATGGATGGCAAGGCCTAGAAACGAGGTCATACGAGGAGAAGGGTTCCGTGAGGCCCAGGCACTTTGACTACTGCATAGTCAAGCGACCAACGGGCCGAAACCAGGATTGGACATGAGTCGGAATATGGAGATCGAGGGGTACCAATTCAAGAGGGTGCGCTAATGATTTGGGCTAGAAGCACACATGTTCGTAGGGAAAGACACTTGTTCGGAGCCAACGTGAAAGGCTGGTCGCTCACATTCACGAAACCCAACCCTGTATGAGAGCTCGTTTATCGTATCCAGCATTCATTGCGATAACCGGCATCGGCTTTTTTCATTGTGTGAATCTTCAAATGAACAATTAGCAAATTGATTTCCTCATGGCATGTCATCTTTCGCCTCTCACTTCACTTCTTGGCTTCCCCAGCACCAGGCGCTTGGGATAACAGAACTAGCCGGAAAGAAGTCTCGAGTCTTGACCTGAGCTGATAGGATCTTTCGTTCCCCCCGACGCCGGCGACTATCCATATTCATGCGATCCAGCCTTTTGGCATGGTACGCAGAATAAGTTTCAGAATCAAAAAAGTGCCTTGCTGTATGCGGGAAGCTAAGTTACATCAATTGAAGCTCTACCAGGGGCCTCAGAGACTTCCAAGTATGTGACATACTTTACAGTGACGCAGTGCAAAGGCAAATGACTTGTTGACAGCTCGCTCTGACTCTCGTTTAGAAGCACCGACACCCGTCATCCATCCGTCGTATTTCGTACTTGTTAGCGGAAGCGCTCGAAACTGCCGAGGTTCCACTTGCGGCGCCCAGGATCTGTGCCAGTTCGACTTGTTCCAGGAAACGCACAGCCATGAATCGCTGCTTGCTACTCCTGGCCGTGGGGGAGAAGATCGGCAATGCGCACGGCGAGGATGCCGACGCATCGGGTCGGGCGGCCCCGGCTGACGTGCCGCCTGAAGGACTTGTATGAGTGTGAGCCGGTAGCTGGGGGTCGTGAGACACGGCGACCCCTGGGAACAGGGTTGAGACGCGTTCAGGCAGCTCGGCGGAAGATCAAGAATATGATTGAGGGTGTCGTCGAGCAGATAAAGGTACCGGCGGCCCCGGTACACATTCTCCTGGTCGGGGGTGGTGCACTGCACTGCTAGTGACGGATCGTGGCCGAATGCATTCAGCCTGTCCACCAAGGTGCGACCAACGCTGTTGGTGCCGCCATTGGCAAGACTTCTGGCGAGTCGACGTGATCAAACCCCTCCAAGCAGCGCTGCCGCCCGACCCAACAAGACAAATAGAGGGGGAATATTTGACTATTTGAGCTGCTGAAACTAGGAGATTGACTGTTTGGTCGCAAATTAAGTTTTTGATGAAATTTAACGTCGAAATGAA